GCATTGACAGCGGTGCATGGTGTGCTTGAGGTTTTCTCTTCTCGTGCTTCATGTCAGGTGTGGCGGCAGACCGGCTGCTCTTCAAATAGAGGACATGCTTCGGCACGGCGGCCTGAAGCAGAATGCCAATGCCCAGAAAAGCAAATTCCACCTGGCTGCTGTCCGTTTCCTTGAAGGCAAGGCTGAGGACCACGATGAAGGCCAGGGGGTGGACGAAGATAAGACAACCGTGAAACGGCTGGTCTCGTCTGATACTGGCGGCCCCACAGCCGCCCAATGCTTGACGGCGCTGGAAGTTCTACTTGCTGGAGGTTCCGGGCACGAATACCAGAGGCGGTGTCTGAGCAACAATCGCACAAATCCGACTTTATGGCCAACGGGGCGTTCGTCCCGAGGAATGTTTTACAACATCATGGAGGCTGCGGCTGAGGCCGCCTTCAACGTGGACCGCCGTCGCCTGCAGCAACCCGTTCGGGCAGTGGCCTTGGCTGAGGAGCCGAATGCCAAGAGTAGTATCCATGCCGGTTTTCAGTGCGTCGTGTGTTGCAGGATGCAAGAGGCGGCTTCGAGCTTTTGAAGGTGCGGTACGTCATGGCCGACTGGTCCGTTCATTGCCGCATGCTAGACCTGGCCACGGCTGAGAAGGCTGGGCAGCACGTGAGCCAGGGCAGATCGGGTTCCAGTACAGTAGCCCTGCCAGCCGAGGCCGCACTGGAGAAAGCCAGATCGCTGCCTGACACCCTGGCCAGCTTCTTGCCGGAGGAAGCCCTCCGGAATGCTTTCAAAGACAAGATCCGCATCTTTATGGCCGACGGGGAATTTAGCGAGCCTCTGGCGGCACGGCTGAGTAAAGTGCCTCGCTTGCAGTTTCTGCGGATTTCAAGAACAGCATATTGAATGTTTGAAGGACCGCACCTTCACATGAGGTCCAGGGAACCCTGCCGGGATTGAAGGCGATTATGAGATGCTCCGTCCATAGTGGACAAAGGTCGCTCGAAAAGGCCTTGTCGTCTGACCCGGATGTGCAGGGTCTTCTCCAAAGCTGGGTGCTTGGATTTTCCGATGGCAGTGGGAAAAATCCAGGAGGATTTTGCAGGGCTGTGCGAAACTCGCAGAAGCTCCAGCGGCTGACGGCAGAGAAGCAGCTTGAGGGTGTGGACGAAAGCCTGAGGCGATTGTGCCACTTCGGCTTTGCACCCCAACGTTTCAACACCGTCTGCGATGCTTGCGTCAACGTGGCTGAGAACATAGATGCGGTCTGCAATGTCCTGAGCCATCTCGCAGCGGTGGATGATGCACTGTCAGGCCACTCAACTGATCGTGCTCGTTCATGAGTCCCCGTGGATGGCGAGGCCTTTGCTTAGCCGATGTTTTGTCTGTGCTGTCTGAGGTTGGGCCACTAAGCTTCTTCAACAATGCTTTCAGCCGGAGAAGCTCCTCCAACTTGGCTTGATCGCGGAGCTTGCCTGTGCCGCTGCGAGCCGCGACTGCAGGAATCAGTCTTGTTTGCAAGTCTTCTCTGGCAAGAGATCCAAGGAAATTCAACCACTCACTGGACGGCCAACATCTGCGATTGGCTGCGACAGCCCACAATCTTCAGCAGCTCGAGCGTCTGATCAATCGACTCTTCGACTTTCGGAGTCCGGCAGGAGAGCTGCAGCAGCCGCTGGTTCTGGATGATGCCTATGCACATGGCTACGTACAAAGACTGCAGGCGACTCTAAAGCTTGAGCAGAACAAGTGCCTGGTTGTAAAGCAAAAGATGATCTTCTGGCACAGCGGCGCCAACAGGAACAAGATACGTTCCTTCGTGGCCAAAGAACTCGGTGCCATTCGCAACATCGCTCAGCTTTTTGTTCAAGGCCTGAAAGCCGATGTGGAGGTTGGCGTCCAGGCATCGCTTTCTCCGTTTGATGTCAACCATACCCTGTGCAGCGACGAAGCTTTGCCAGAGCCACAGGATCCATGATCTTCTGTGCGATTCTGCTCCTGTAATGAATCACCGCTACTAACATCCGATGCCAAGGCCTGACATCTTCAAGCCGCTAGCAGAGGCTGCACAAGTGGAGGTCTGGAGCCCACACCGCTTCAGCGGGACCGAGGCTGTGATGTTCAACCGCTCAGGTGACACAGCTGGCCAAAGAGTTCCTCTTGGCACGTCCTACAGCCTTGCTGGTGAAGTCACAGCCTCCCGGCGACAAGTCTTTTCTTCGGAGGCCCTTCACTCCAAGACGAACAGTGCATGACTGAGGACCGGAGGCGAGGATTTGAATGAGATCTGGTCCAGGACCATGCGGCATTGGTCTGACAAACTCCCGGCTTTGTCTGAAGCGGCTCCTTACCTAGCCCAGTGTTTTTGAGCTGTGGGATTAAACGTGAGACGACGAAAGCCATTCTGTCCTGAGGCTGCCCTCGTCCTGAGTTGCTTCCCGAGCACCGGCGAGATTGAGCAGAATTTCAGCTGGCTGCAGCAGTTCTCGGAGGGGAGAAAGGGCAAGACTTCGCGGGGACACCTTCGGCAACTCGGCTCATGTCAAGTCCATCTTGTCGTCCTGCATGGGACCAGAAATTTGAAAATCTTCTGCTCTCAGTCTCTGTCGAAGTGCCAGGTCATTAATGAAGGTCCGCCTCGACGGGCCGACAGCCGACCAACTCGTCTGTCGCGAGCCCCACAGCATCCTCCCGAGAAAGCCGTGCCTGAAACTGCTGCAAGAATACCGTCGCCTGTTTGCTCCGAGCGGCGGCTCGCAAGGATGCCGCAGCTCACTGGGTCGTCGGGTTCTGAACGGCCGCCTGAACCCGCTTTCAAGAGCTGGCTTGAAGCGACAGCGAGGGCTGGAGCAGCAGCAACTCTTGCAACAGGCGCCGGCGGAGTCTCAGCCTGAAGACCTCGCTACTTTGGAGGCTGAAGCCGGCGAATCAGCCAAACGTCGCAGGACTGACAAGCAAGTTAGCCTGACTGCCGCCCTGGAAAAGTACAAGACCAAGAAGGAGGAATGGGCGACACTTGATGCTTCGTCCGAAGCAGCCGCTGCTGGCCGCCTGATAGAAAAAGAGCGGGAGGCTGAAAAACGCTTCGAGAAGCTGAAGAAGATCGGCGTGGCCAGACTTTCAGCCGTGCGGTCTGACGTCCTTGCGGCCGACCGCGACCGTTTGATCATGGTGGTGCATGGCCATGACTCCAGCAAGACACCGGGCCTGCCTGATCTTGAACGACTGGGCAATGCTCGTGCTTGGCCTGAGTCGATCGAAGACCAAAGAAATTTGGTTTACGATCTGCTTCGTCATACATCTGAGGACTGCGGCAGTCATCGACTCCTCTACTGGGTCTGCTTGTCTGACGAGGTCGAGCGTGACTTCATCTTCAAGCCGTCTGAGAGTGCTTTCTCGGCTGTTGCTCGCCACTTGGGAGGCGGTTTTTGCGGTCGACAATGGGTGCAGGCATGCATGGATGAGGGCCGTCTCTTGCCAGCCTTGACATGTCTGAAAAGCAGCTTGACGACGAAACAGGAGCTGTGCTTGCATAGCTCCTGTATGTCTGACGACTCTGCTTTGCCCGCAACTCGGATGCTGGGAGCTGTTCTCGATGCCGCGGAGAGGGCTGACATTACAATTGCATGGACACGTCGCAAGAGATGGCGAGATGTTACTTGCAAGAAGTGTTCTGTCATAGTCGACGGTGAGACGGCTGAGAAGTACAGGAAGAAGAAGCAGAGGCATCGGGGCTGTTTGATGACAGTGTCTGAATTCATCGCTGCTAGCAACACGGCTCTATTTCGTTGGCTTTCGCACACAAGCTAGGTCATGAGTTTGCACATGTACATATATAGTCCTCTACTCAGGCACGAAGTGGACTGACACCTGATACCGCCCGATGCTGCCTGAACGACTGAGCGACGAGGCCAAGGCTATAAATTTCATCTTGTCCAGTCTAACTTGTTACTTGACTTGGTCAGGCACTTCCACACAGCCATCGAGTGCTTGAACGTCGGCGTGCACCGGCTCCGACGGCTTCGTCAGGAACCTCGCTGCAATTGTTATTTCTGTTGATTCCTGCCCTCACGTTCTCAGTGATCCTAGGTACCAAAGATGATGTGTGGCTTGCTTCGACAGCAATGCCGCCCAGTCGCACTGCTGTCCCTTTGCTGTGGGTTTCCCTGCTTGCTCTCGACTTTCTGAATCCTAGGCAGTCGTGCTCTGCCTACACGGCCTGATAGCTGGTGCAGGGGTGGGGCTGCCTTGAGCGCCTCGGGGATGTTTCCTTAAGTGAAACAGTCTGAATTTCACGACGTCTGATATCCATCTTGCAGTCGCGACACAATTATCCTCAAAACATAGCTTTCTATGTGATCTCGGCTGTTTCCACGGAAACTCGCTTTGTAGATGACTGATGAGTTTGGGGTGGAGCCGGGGAGACCAAAAAGTGCCGTCGCAGATCTGTCTGAGAAGTTGTGCTTGCATCGGCTTTGCCACTGTCCTGCTTTGCTTCGGCGCCTTCCGACCGCTGAGGTTTGACCCCGGCGGCAGAGTGAGTGCCGAAGCCTGAAGCCTGAAGCATCGAAGCCACAACACAACATCGCCTGACAAATCACAAGCTAAAGCCTGAAGCATCGAAGCCACAACACAACATCGCCTGACAAATCACAAGCTAAAGCCTGAAGCATCGAAGCCACAACACAACATCATTCTCACCTGGAATCGAGCAAGTGATGCGTGGAAAGAAGTGTTGGACGTCGCCATGATGTGCTGTAGATGCTTAGTTTCCGGTATAAAAGTTTCAACTTTTATCGCCCGGGCCTTTCAGCCAGTAAGAGGCATGAAAACTCCTCCAGCGCAAATTTAACGATTCTAGGTTTGAGGCCCCTAATAAAGGACTCCGGGTCTGTTTAAAGTACCCTAAACTCTAAACCCTAAACCCCTGAACCCTAAACCCTAAACCCCTAAACCCCTAAACCCCTAAGCCCCTAAACCCTGAACCCCAAAACCCCAGAACCTGCCAGGCGCCCCTGCTTCTGGCGCGCGGCGAGCCGCTGCATCACCGGGAGGGCATCCTGCTTGTGCTTCAGGCTCGGGTTCCTTAAAGGGCTCCTTAAAGGGTTTAGGGTTTAGGGATCTATAATATAGGGGTTCTATAAGGGGTAGTTTAGGTTACTTAGAGGATCAGGGCCCTTTAGGGTTTAGGGTTTAGGCATGGCTTGAAGTCTAGGGCTTTAGAGCTTTCGGGGTTTATCCTTTTAGGGGTTTAGAGTTTGATATGGTTTCAGGGATTTACGGCTTCAGGGGTGTAGGGTTTGGGAGTTACGGTTTAGGGTTTAGGTTAGGGTTCAGGGTCCCAAAGTAGCCTTTCTAGCATCCCGAAGTCCTTTTCAATTTGTGTACTTTGGGGGTTTAGGGGGTAGGGTTTAGGGTTTTTAGCCCAAGATTTAGGTAACTGGAGCCGCGGGACCTTTCCACGATAGGAGGTTTGGGTCTAGGGGAGAGCGTAGCTGGCGTAAGCCGGACTCGGGAAAGAGTTAATACGGGATCCCAGAACCCCTCACCCAGGGACTAGGACCCGAGGTGTTTTTCAGGATTTAGGGTGTTGCTCTGCTTGAGGGTTCCTCTGCGAGTACACCTTCGCAGCGCGCTTGTTTTCAGCCATACGGTTGAGGGTCTAAATCCTGCGTTACCTTAAGGGCCCTAAACTACGGGAATTATGGTATATTCCTCATTATGGGTCATGCGCAGGGTTTATATTATCAACCGTAGGAACCTTAGGAAAGCCAACCCCTAGCGAGGCTTCAGTTGGGGGTAGCTTGGCTTTAGGGTTCAGGGTTTTGGGGATTTAGGGATTAGGGTTTAGGGAGTCGTGGTTTAGGGATGAAGGTTAGGAGTTGGGGTTTAGGGATTAGGGGGTTTAGGGGTTAGGGTTTAGGGATTAGGGTTTAGGGATCAACCAAAATTTACTAGCTGCTAAAATAGTCAGTATCCATTCCGAGTTTAGTACCTACAGTGCAAACACTAGATTCGGGTGGGGGTGAGGGTCCAGGGATCAGGGCTTTGCACCTGGAAGGCAGACCCTACTATGGGCGATTGGACCCTCTGGGCAAGATTTGAAGTGTCTCAACCCTGAGCCTCTGAAACCCCTCTTCGCTCTGTCTCTCACTCTCTCGCTTTCGGTGTCTCTTTTTGCTCGGGGTATACGCCACAAGCCCAGATAAGTTCAACATATGAAACCCTCTTCCATGTTTAGCGCACTTCCCAGAACCCGAAAGCCAGGGCCGATCGGGAGCCGATGGGCCTTTGGCCGCGGGCCTCGGGGAGGCCTCCGAGACGTGCTGGCGTTTGGGGTTTGGGGTTCAGGATGTTAGGGTTTAGGGTTTAGGGTTTTGAGGATGTCAAGGTTTAGGATGTTAGAGTTTAGGGTTTGGGGTGCTGTTAGGGTTCAGGATGATAGGGTTTAGGATGTTAGGGTTTAGGCTGTTAGGGTTTGGGGTGTTAGGGTTTGGGGTTTAGGGTGTTAATGTTCAGGATGTTAGGGTTTGAGGTTCAGGGTTTGGGGTTTAGGGTGTTAGAGTTCAGGATGTTAGGGTTTGGGGTTCAGGGTGTTAGGGTTCAGGATGTTAGGGTTTGGGGTTAAGGGTCTTAGGGTTCAGGGTTTAGGGTTTAGTAATTCGGGTTGGTTTAGGGTTCAGGGTTTAGGGTTTGGGTTTAGGGTTGGTTTTGTTTCTGGGAATAATTTCAGAATGTAGTTTTGAGCTATTTACAACGGTGTCTGGACGAGGGATCCAATATGGTTGCTTTTCGAGTTTGTGGTTTCAGGGGGATTTTAGGTCGGAGGGCTTTTTGATGTTTAAGTTCAAGACTTTGGATTTAGGTCGTTCTGTTCTGAGGGATCTTTGTTGGGTGCTATAAGGGTTGCATTGCAGGGCTTCAGAGGTGTAGAGGACTCCAGGAAAGCTGCCTGCCAGGTTTGTACCGGGAGAAGTTTCCACGTAAGATGAAAGGCACAGAAGAAGCAGATGACCTGCAACAGAAAAAAGGCAAGACAAGGCGGATTATAGGCAAAGGAAGGCAAGTAGCAGCAATGCAACGGCAAGAAACGGGCAACAGTGCCTCTACCATGTCGCTTACTTCCCTCTTGCCGTTGGCTAAGGCTCCATGTACGCAACTACTATATACTTTGAGCAAAATATACCTAGAAAGGGAATCCTATAAGGGTACATGGTTTTATCAACCCAACAAACCCTAAACCCTTACACCCTAAACCTTATAAACCCTAAACCCTAAAAACCTGAAGACCTACCGCGAACCGCTAGCAAAAGTGAGAGCTCAGCAGGTCACACCACTCCCTCAGTTTCACAAGGAGACGCTGGGAGAGGCACGGAAAAGTTTCGTGCACATAGGGCTTAAGGTTTCGGGTTTAGGATTTAAGGTTTTAGGGTTTTAAAGATAGGGTGTAGGGTTTATATAGCGCTACGTACGGTTTTCGAACAGTAGAGCTTCAGGGTCTGTGGCGTAGGGCTCGGGGCTTAAGGGCTGTTTTACGACATGCTTTCCAGCCTGAAGTTCAACTCGTGTAGGCGGTTTCGGGCACGACTGGCAAGCCCACCCCGAGAATATGTGAGAGGGGCATGCGCGACTTCTACCATAATGGCGTGTAGAGCCAGTATGAACTCCTGCATCCAGACTCTTAAAACACCTTGATGCAACTAGAGATAATGGACTAGACCTTAGAAAGGCGTGTGAATTCTGATACGGAAATTAAAATGCTACGCACTCTACCCAAGAGGGTCCATATGTACGACCATTATAGAATCAGGTCCCCAAAGCCATAATAGGGATGGACTTTTGGGGCTTAATTCCATAATAGTAGCGTATATGGGCCCTCGGTACTCATAAACAAGACCTGCAGTGGGTCGTGGCCAGGCACAAGCCCAGCTGGGCACAGTCCTCTCGAACTTGGCGGCGGCCACACCAGAGGTCGGCTCTAAACGAGCTTTATGGGATTTCCGGTCCGTTTTGGGGCGTCGACATACCATAAAACAATGACTACTTTTACCCCTAGGACGGTTTCAGAGGGTTGTGAAAGAGGCCTGGGTATCTCTGGTGGGCTAAATGTGGGATCTCATGGCTTTCCATGTGCGGGGACCTAGCTCCAGTGTGGTGAGTGTTCGGCCGTGTAATGTGTATGGTTTTGGGATGGTTTGCCCTAGGACTCCTGTTACCCAACTTTACTCCAATAGTAGGTTGTGTTGAGGGTTTAGGATGGTTCACCCTACGGCTCCAGCTACCTAGATAGTGGGTTTCTCGCCGTACGAGATGCAACTCAGCAACTCATCATTTGACGAACTGGAGCCCTAGGGTTAGGTAAGGTGCAGGATCGATTATATGTTCTGGTTTTCGGCGGTCGAAACTAAGGTAAAAGCCAGAAAGTTGGAATATGATTATCCTAACCCTTCTATGGTAAATTATAGGGTATCCTACCATGAAACCATATTCCAACTTTCTGGAGTTCCCTGTAGTCAGGCTGAAGTTCTGAGTCATGAGATCAAGGGCTTGTTTAGGGCTTAGGATCTGGGCCTTGAGCCGGAATAACCTACCCTTTTTAGGGTTCCTTATTATGATTTCCTTATATAAGTCCTTAAAAAGGTAGGTTATTCCGGCTTAAGGTAGGCCTTGGGTTTTAAGTGCTGGAGATGGGGTCATTCCGCCCTTGTCTTATAAGCTTGTCCCTGGACTTGGGGGCTGCAAAATCCTAAACCCGAATCTCTCAACCCTAAACTTCTAAACCCTAGTCCCGAGCCATCAAGCCTACAAGAACGCTCTATAACGGGGTTTTCTACTCCTCACTGCGAGGTACTTAGGACCTAGGGAGAAACAGTTGAGTGGTCTGGGTAAACCTCAAGGCACATCCTGAAATTGAACATAAAAACTGCCATAGCCACTGCTCCTGTGCTCAACCCTAAACCCTAAACCCTAAACCCTAAACCCTAAACCCTAAACCAACTCTGCATTAGTAAGAGAGCCAGCTCTACCATAGCCCGTCAATTAGAGCCAGGCCAGTAGTTCTACTTTGCACCTAAACCCCCTACCCTAGGCATCTAAGGACTCATATATCAAGGCTTTTGGGCCCAAAGACCTCATTATATAAGGCTTTTGGGCTATTTTGATGCCCAGGGCTAGGACCCAGAGTAGGCCCTTATTCCCTTTTTTTAGGTTTAGGTTCCCTTGTAAACCCCTTTAAACCAAAAAAGGGCCACCTTTTTTATTCCTAGGTTACTCTAAGGTCTAGCCCCTAAGCCCCTGAACCCCTCAAGCGCTCCTCGGCGAGGTGCCAGCAGAGCTTGCACGCCTGGATGGCAGCCTGGGGCGATGGCTGCTCGCCCGGACTATTAGGGCTAATATGGAAGCCTCAAGAACTACCATGCTATGCAGAACGCACCCCAGAACCGATTGGTTGGCTGTGGCCCGTCTTGGGGCTGGACATTCTGGAACATGTTCTTTCGGTAGGTAAGGTGCTTCCAACTTGCAACACAGAGGTCATTCATCGCTAAACCAGAGGGTCCATATACACTACTATTATGGAATTAGGCGCCAAAAGTCCATCCCTATTATGGTTTTTGGGAACTGATGGTTTAATGGCAGTATATATATATATATATATATATATATATATATGGACCCTCCTGGTAAGCAACCGAACAGCCGTTCAAGAAGTACATCGTCGGTCTTCGGGACTGTCATGTCCCCGACGTGGATTTCCAGTAGCTTTGGTGCCGAAACCCCTTCTTTTTTGGGGTTCTAAGGGGATTCTAATGCAACCCCTACATACCCCCCCCCCAATTAGGGTTCTAATGCAACCCCTACATACGCCCCCCCCCAAAAAAAAAATGCGCAAGACTTTGAAGGAACAGGGTGTTGGTTCCCATGGTTACGGATGGGTCGCTCACTAGATGTGAGTTTCCAGCCCTAGAAGCCTTTGTTTTCAGCTTTTAGGACCGTACGACACTGAGATGCGGTCTGCAGTTGATGCTTCCCTAAGGGTGCAAGTGGTCCTGATTTATGGTTTTGATGCCTAAAACGGCCCTAAAGTCCTATACTGGTTCTGATACCTAAAAAGGCCCTAAAGTCCTGTACTAAACAAGCAGTACTTGGACCCTCCGGGGGGCTTCGAGTGCATTTCGAAGCATCGGTTGGTTTGGCTTAAGGCTTGAGATCCGGAGCTCCAGCTGTAAACCCAGAAGCCGTGTCGTAGAAGCAGTACTCAGTAATCGGTATACATCCGTAAATGTGCGGTTTGGGATTTAGGGTTTAGAGCTATACGGATCAACATCAAGACTCCCAAAGCCCAAAGCCGTGTTTTCTAAGCCACCAAATCGGCAAGGTTGGAAAAGTACAGCCAGGAGCTTGGTGGCCAGATCTCTCTCTCCCTCGCTCTTCTTTGGATTACAACGCCAGACTGTACTAGGTTATTGGGTTAGACCTCTGGTCTTAGCATGGCAGCTGCTAGGTTTTCGGTCTGCTTTCAGTTTAGTGTGTACGGTTGGCAGTGTTCCGCCGGCGCTTGTCTGATCTCCGGTTCCTTATATACAACTCTAACCAACCCCTGAGCGCCACAAGCATCAACATAAACAAACATCTCTTGTTGGCAAGTTTCAACAAATAAGGTGCCCGCTGATACAAATTGCAATTCCATGGTATCAAGCTTCCTTATGGTAAGAAAGGCCTAGCCAGGTATTCCCGTTTTGTAAGCCCATCCTTTGCCCTATGAATTGAAAACGCTAAGACGCAACTGTCCTAAGTAAACCACCCGCAACCAGCCACACAAACAACACTTTGAACAGGAAGCAATCCGCACGCTGAACCCGCCAAGAATTTCATGCAGACGCCGTCAACAAGCCTCACTGTTAAGGGGAGAATGCGGAACATAGGTATACCCTTTGTGTCCAGGTACCCAAATCATTTTTACTCTGGTCCCAAAGTACCTCTATGGGGACTACTTTGAGGCCCAAGTAATACTATTTGGATACATGGACCCTTAGACCGAAGCAGCAATAGCGATCTAATTTCCCAGAGCACCTCAAACTCCAAGCCCACAAGCCCTTCACGATCTAGGGTTTAGGGCTCAGGGCTTGGAGTTTAGGTTGTAGGGTTCAGGTTTTAGGGTCTGGGGTTTCGGGTTTAGGGTCTGCACTGCAAGCCCTGAACGACCATTAAACTAAACCCTATTGCCCAGGGCGCAAACCTCAAATCCCTAAACGCGCAAGGAACAAGCATAAGTGTCCCTGAAACGAAACCATAAGCCCCAATCCCCTAAACAACCACAAAGCAACACAGCACAAAACTTGCCCAAAGAAGTTGCGCAACTCTAAACCATGAACCGCCTTTCCCTTAACATCCTAAACCCTATACCCTAAACCCTGTACATAAGCCAACCCTATTTACAAACCGTAAACCCTAAACCCCAAGGGTTATTTATGGTTTATTGGATACCGAAAAACCTCTAAAGTCCTATTATGAGGAGTACTTGGACCCTCTGGGTAAACTCACAAATGAAAAAAGGTCCCGGGCCACTGCTGCCTTCAGTTCGAGCAGGTCTTGAGATGGTGCCTTCGCTTGAGGGTTCCTTAAAGGCTTCTATAGGGGTTCCTGTAAAGGGATCCTGTAGGGATTCCTTGAAAGGTTCAGGATTTGGGGCAGGGTTGTTTAAAGTGTAGGGCTTTGGGTTTGGGGCTTATGGGCTTTGGGGTTTCGGGTAGGGTTGTTCGGGGTAGGGTTCCTTCAAGGCTCTTGGTTTATTTATGAAGGGTTTCTTTAATGGGTTTCTGGGTGTTGCGGGCTTGTGGGGTTTTGGCTTGCGGTTAAGGGGCTTTAAGGGTTGTGAGGGTTTTTAGGGCTGTGAGGCAGTTGTGTTTTAGGGATTAGTCTATCCTACATTTAATGTACGTATATATACATATATATATATATATATATATATATATATGTTGCATGCACATAGACTTACAAGATAGGTACTGCCAGCCTCTTGCTCACTGCCGCCTGCACTCGGCCTTGAACTACATGACGTCCAAGAAACCCACCGATCTCTTCGAGCATCTGCAGCCTAGGCACAAACGAACAGTTGAAAGTGCCTTTCCTTAGGCCTCCTTCATAGAACTACCCTATAGAAACGTTTATAAAAAGCCGAGCCCAGCTTTTCGAATTAGGTTTATCTTGAGGCACTGCTCCATCTCCTCCGGCGGGATTATCCACAGCCCTATGCAGCTGCGGCTTTGGCCAGGCAAGCCGGGGGGTCAAGTGTTGAGGGGTTTGTGGGGCTTAAGGTCTGAGTGTTAAGGTTATGGTGCTTAGGGTTTGTGGGGTTTTGATTTCCGGGGGCTAGGGTTGAGTTAAAGGTTACTTTTTAGGGTTCAAGGTTTGTGCGTTTTGGGGTTGATTTTGTTTCGGGTTTAGGGTAGGCAAAGCATTGGCAAAGCATGGTGTGGCTTTTCCCGTGAATCGTTTTCGGAGGATCTTGCACTGGGATGTGGTAGTTGAGATTCTCATTGTTTGGGCCTAAGAAGCCCTAAAAAATGTAATTGGCTTCACGGCCCTGTGTCTCGGATTCTCATTCCTTAAGGGTCCACGTGCTCTAACGATGATATACTTCGGCCCCAAGTACCTACAGGACCCGCATAGAGACTGCCTGAGGCCAAAGTCTACACTATTTGGGCACATGAGCCCTTCCCCTTTTGAGGGAGCGGGATAGGAGAGTCCCTCGGAGGGATTGCCTCGAATCCTGCAACCTAGACCACACTAAGCTGCCTTTTCTTCGTAACTACTCAGGTGACGGTAGTCTATTCTTAGCTTAATTAAGGGCTTAAATGCACTTAGCCCTAAACCCTAAGGGTCCAAGTAGTCCTTATTTTTGGTTTCGGATACCTAAAAAGGCCTTAACGTCCGATTATGAGGAGTACTTGGACCCTCTGGGTTATGGAATTCATCTTAATAGTTATGGAGTTCATCCTAATAATATGATTTTGGGGGGCTCCGTCTAAACCCTAAGCTTGTTTTCCGGTTTAGGTGTCGACACTGGTAATAGGAGAGACAAGGATCGGCAGGGTGAGGATTAGCTTACTACAGGGGCCCGAATAAGTAGCTATACTATTTTGCGGGTTCCTTATGGCAAGTAAACCCCAAATCTCTATTTAAATTATTAGGGCTCTATATTTCGTCAAGTTTGACATTCCCTAACCGTGCTGCTACTGGCTGATGTTGATGTCCATGCGCATTGTTAACGTCGATGCTTTTCTTCACCGAACATCATCCTTCTCCTCTCAACGTCCCCCTTATGGCTGGAAATCACACACGGTTTCTGAAGAGTATTGTCGATGAGCACTGGCACCATGTAGCCCTGATCCTTACTGAACCTCGAACTCCGAATTCCGGATCCCTTCACCCCAAATTAAATTCCGAGCAGAACGCACCCCTAAACCGTCAACTTTAGTTTGAAGCCGAACCCTCAGCTTTGAACCTCGACCCCTCGACCCTAGAGAGCCCCTGTAGAACCCTTTCGGAACCCTCATAGAATCCTTGGACAAGCCTGTCAGAGCCCTGAAGCCTCAACTTTAAGCCTGGCTCAGGGGCCTTTGCTGCCAATCTGAAGTGAGTCCGGCCCTCGGTGCGGCGTAACTTTGGGGTGATGGCTTGAAGTCTCGAAGTAGGTTTAGTACCTGCAGTTGTTTTTCTCTCAAAAGGGCCCACAAGCAAAACAAATAAATCAAGCAGTTCAAAACTGATGGATTTAGATGGATTGCGGGTTTAGGGGTTTTGAGGTTTTGGGGTTTAGGTGTTAGGGGTCTTTACGGCTTTGGACTTACTAAAGCAGAAGCCAGAAAGTTGGAATATCATTATCCTAAACCCTTTATGGTAAGTTATAAGGTATCCTACCCTGAAACCATATTCCAACTTTCTGGAGTTCCCTGTATAGGGGCCTAAATAAATACCACTACTATTTTGTGGGTTCCTTAGAATAATTTTCGCAGAATGGGCCCGAACACCCGATTCTAATTATTAAGGTCCCTATATTACAAGCTTTAGGGTCTTGGGGTTTACAGCGTCTGGGACTCAGAGTTCATGGAGGTCATGTTTTGGGGTCTAGGACCCAGAGTAGGCCCTTATTCCCTTTTTAAAGGCTTAGGTTCCCTTATAACTCCCTTTGAACCAAAAAGGGCACCCTTTTTATTCCCAGGTTACTCTTGGGTCTAGGGGTTGTGGTTCATGTGACTTTGTACTTTTCAAAGCACAGGGAAGCGTAGAGGGATTCCTTCACCTCGCTCCAGGGGGGTGCTGTGGAAGGCCTGGCAGACTTAAAACTTACCCTAAGGGTCCATGTACCCATATAGAGCTACATGGGCCCCAAAGTACCTATATAAGGACTACATTCAGGCCAATGTGTATACTATATGAGTACATGGAGCTTCATGCCCTAAACCCTCATCGAACCCTTATAGATCCCTTAAAGGATCCCTGATGGTACCCTCAAAGGACCCTTCAATATATGAGTACATGCACCCTTAGGGTTAGGTCTGGAGTGCCGAATCCCGTCGCAAAGCACACGGATTCAGAGTTAGAGCTTGACCCTCCCCTCACGAGACGGATTTGGGAGTTTCCGAAAATCGGGGACCCCAATATAGTACCCTAAATAGTAGGATCCTTATTATAAGGACCCCCAAATAAGGTACCCCTAATTTTCGGAAACTCCCATTTCCTCCCGTCAGCCAAGGCAGGCGTTGTCAGGTCAACAGGGTCATCTGAGACGGACCCGGCATCCCCACGGCGGGCGTTCCGAAGTCCTACTTAGAGGATCATGGGACTTAGTAAGTAGGTTATAACTGGGGTTATAAGTCCCCTAAGTGGGGTTATCCTAATTATAACCTACTTATAACCTTACTTACTAAGTCCCATGAGCCTTCAAGTACGGGCCGTCGGCGCCGCCGTCGGCGGCATGCACCGTTCGAGGAAACGGCCGAAAGGAGTTCGGAGTTGCTGGCCGAGGCCATAAAAGGAAAGCCTCGCCCCAAGGTTTCTCAGGGGTACTTAGACATAAGTTTTTAATTTTTGGTTATTATAATCCCTAAGAAACACCTATTTTTTTAATTTTTGCTAGGGTTCCAAGTTCAGTATAGATCTGTTGTGGTGTACCTAGAGGCTCATACCCTATCCCTTTTTCCGGGTACCTATTTTTATGGTTAGGATCTCCTATATAGAAAAGAAGGTACCCTAAAAAACGGGTAGGGTATGAGCCTCTAGTGATGGCTGCACTCCCGCATGGGCTGCCATCACGACACTAAGCCCTAAACCCTAAACCTGGAACCCCAAACCTGAGAGTAGGGCCCAGGATCGTCCAGATATTGAGGCTCTGGAGGTTATGCGGATCAGGATTTTAGACGCGGGCCTGAAGGTTCGGCTTGTAAGATCTTTCAAGAAAAAGCTTCTAGGGTTTTGGACTTAGGACTTCAGGGCTCAGACTAGAATCAAGCTTCCAGTCCCATTCTCGATTGCCTTTCAAGGCATTGAGCTTCTGCAAAGGCTGTTTATGGCTTACCCATAGGCCCCAAAGTAGTTCCTTTTTGAAGAATACCCACTAGGATTCTATATATGAACCCCAAAAAGGAACTACTTTGGGGCCTTAGGGTAGGGTCTTCCGGTATATTCCTGCTGATAACACAGAAGCGGCTCATGCTGTTACCACATGAAACAGAGTGTCGTGGAGACATCTGGAGAGCATTGCTAACAGCCCCACTGAAGCTGAGAAGCATGGGGGCCCTAAAGTCCTACATCATCCTAAATCCTAATTCCTAAATACCCTAAACTTTACAGATCCTCAACCCTAAAGGGTGCCTGGCGCACTAGAGTGTAGGGGTTTAGCGGCTTGGGGTTTCGGGGTTAAGGGTTTAGGGCATCAACAAAGCCCTTGCGAGTTGCTAGACACCTTCGCCGGGCGGGACCGATGGAAAGAAGTCGTTGACACAAGCTGTGTTGCTTGATGTAGGCCACCGATTGTGAAAGTAGTTGTGTCGCCTAGAAGCATGGATGCTGACTCCCTGGTAATGTGAACCGAACCATATCTCCAGTCATAGCCGTATGCCTTGTTTAGGGGTTTAGGGTTTAGGGATTCAGTTTTTGGTTTAAGGTTAAGGTGTTTATGGAAGTCGATAAACCCCGAACAGGCCTCGAAGCCCCCCAACGGCCCAGGTATCAACTCCCTCGTCGCTCAGAACGATGACCTCGACACAGATGGCGCATCGGTGGCGAAACTCAAGGCAGGTCAATTGGGACGCTTTTAGTACAAACTTTGTCATCTTGGCGGGTGGCCGTTTAGTTTTTCGGGTTGTCAACCATGGAACAACGAAATTTGGGTTTCCCCTTTCGGGCAGAGAATTCAGCAACTCGGCCATGCCTGTCGGCCCCCAAACCCTGCATAACAGTGGGCTATGAGCTCTCGAAAACAGGGTGCAAGGGTTGAAGGAGTGGGTAGTTGGATGTGGACCCGGACCCCCCACCAAGTATGAGTGAGCCTCGCCGCCCAGCGCGCCGGGTGAACACACGCAGGCGAGAGGGTTCCGAAGCCTTCCGTTGGTTGCAGCAAACCCTCAACATGACTGGGCTTTGGAGTACCATGCTTTAATATTTTTTCGGGACCTGGTACTTAAATTAAAGGCAACCAATTACGAAAAAAAAGTCTATACTTGTTTTCTCCCTGGCTACTTCAAGCCCTCAACATGAGTATCCCATAAGCCCACAGGCGAGCCTGAGCTGTGCGTGCATCGTACGAGGTCTTGGGCAGAAGAAACCGTTGAATCCCAAACCCACAAGTGAGTGAACCTGAGTGACTTAGGCGCCCGAACCCTGGGCCTTTTCGTAGGGTTCCTTATATGAATCCTATTATTTTGGGGGGGGTTTTAGGCCCAGGGTTTCTTAATCGAGTTCCTACTGTAGGCCGGAAGCCGAACGCCCGAACCAAGATCCGAGACTCTGAGACTCCGAGCTTATTCATAGGGATCCTTAGGGGTGTAGGGGGGAGGGGTGTAGGGGACTATGTTTAAATAAGCCTTATTAGTCCTTATTATGGGCCTTAAGGCCCCCTACCCCCCCTCCCCCTACACCCCTAAGGATCCCTATGACTTATGCCATCTACACCAGGTTGGCAAAGATCCGAAGCAGGAGGGGCAGCGGCTGCTCATTGACATAGGGGCCGAAACAATTACCAATACTATTTTCGGTTTGGCGCGCCATATTGAAGGCACTGGAGTCCTCACAGAACAGAACAGAAAATACTATTTTCGGGGTTCCTTATTATAGTTATAGCATAGTGGGCCCCGAAACCCCTGTATTACTCTTAACTGCAAGGGTCCACAGCACCTGCTGCAGGCACATGGATTTAGGAAAGCACTAGTTAAAGGTGAATGGGCCAAAGTACTCCCCTGTGAGATGCTGGGGTCTGGTTCTAGTCAGATAGCAGCTGCAGGTGCATGATTTAGAGGAGTATTACCCTAAACCCTAAACCCTCTAGTTCTTCGGTATTTGGCCTCTACGGGCTTCAGGAACCAGGACGTATAAATCGCAAGTACGTATGCCTGCCCAGATTGCTGAGGAACGGGGCCTGCTGCTTGCATGCTTCCCCCCAACATCTGCAGGTTGTTTACTCCCACGGTGTGGGCCAGGGAAACCATCGGAAAGGGATTTTTCTTTGGCATCATTAGGACCTATAAACCCCAAAGCCTAAACTTAAACCCTTATAGTATAGCCCGCAAAAATATGCCGACAGGAACCCAGTAAAACCTTCAACCTAGATCTAGAAACTCTGGGACCAGGAAGGGTTTGGAGAGTAGAGCAGCGTAGCCACAGCCCACAGATATCATTTCTGACATCCTCAGGGTAACAGACGCCCGAATTAAAAAACAAGAGAATCATTCTAAACAGTAGCCGCGCTTCTATCCTAAACCCTGCACCCCAAAGCCTCATAGTAACGATCTGGACAGGCTTTCCCCAATTTCCGTGCGTAGGAACCTCGTGGAGGTCTTCGTTGTAGGAACCCTCAGAGGGTCCTTATTATCCCTATGGGCCCATGTGCTCATATAGTGTATACATTGCAATGTAGTCGCTATATAGATACTTTGGGGCTTGTGTATCTCTATAGGGGTACATGGGCCCTTGGGGTATGGTTTGGGAAAGTATCCCCCGTGCGACCTGGAGGGTTGGGTGTCCCGACTTGTATATACAGTTTCTCGATTAGGAACGAGAAATTGGGATCGACGGTGTGTGCCCCTGAACTCTGAATCGGTTCACCAAAAGCCTAGAAGCCCTACAATTCTGGCCTTGAGCACCCAGGTAAGCTGAGTTTCTTGATTAATTAGTACGTTTTGAGCAAAGTAGAACCAGCTAGAGTCCTTCGAACAGGTATATATGTTGGACAAATCTATTGCGAGAGTCATTCGAACATGGCAAGAAGTCTTCCTGCAGGATGCAGCGCGTACCAACCGCTTGGCGGAGAAGCTACACGAGCGAAGAGGAGACAAGGCGATGAATGTCAGGCTTCAGGTTCTACTATACCCTAAGGGTCCATGTACCCAAATAGTATATACTTTGGCCCCAAAGTACCTATACAGGGACTACATTAAGGCCCATGTATATACTATATGAGTACATGGACCCTTAGGGATAGAGGCATTAGTATTACCTATCCTATTTTTTTGAGGGCTCCTTGTCATGATTATAGTATAATGGGGTCTTGAGGCCCATTAATTATTAAGGGCTTCAGGTTCTGGGCAGCCCTGTTTTTGGAGGCGTTTCAGGGTTCACGACAGTTTGATATGATTGAAAGGTAAGGGGATGGAGTTTACAGTCAAGGTTTTTGGGTCGACGCTTGGTGTCGTTGTGTTGCACTGGAGCATAATCTATCGTCAGTCGAGGTACCTTCCAGTACCGAGTGCCTTCCAACACCCAGCTAGGCGTAGGCAGGAGGGTTTGGAAGCAAATAGCTGCTAACTCCGATGCTTCCCATACCACATGCCGCAGCAAGAATGTGGCGCGTAAGGAGTTCCAATTCATATAGAGGGTCTTTGATGTTGTGCTTCGGTTGATGATATAAATCCTGCATGACCCATAATACGGAGTATACCATAATTCCCAGAGCTTAGGGTCCTAAAAGTAATGCAGGATTTATATCATCAACCGTTCGGGCCGTCTTCAGGCCTGAACTTAGAACAGAGTTGAATGATGATTAGCTCTCCGTGCTTCAGCCGATGCTCTTGCCTACACTTACATCGTCCACGACCCAAGCCCTAAGGGTCCATGTACTCATATAGTATATACATGGGCCTTAATGTAGTCCCTATATAGGTACTTTGGGGCCAAAGTATATACTATTTGGGTACATGGACCCTTAGGGAAGGCAAATGAACTTCCAACCCGGATCAGGCAATGCAGAACCTTTCCGAGCATTTGCATTTCGCCAACTCTCTTTGTGTAACTGCAGGCGTATAATTCCATAGTGACATAGATGCCCCAAGGGCCCTATATGGGGGATATAAACCCTAAACCCTAAACCCTAAGCCCTAAACCCCCCCAACCCATACTAGTAATTCCTACTATAGAAACCAGGGCACTGGAGTACCATACGTTTATACTTGTTTGGGACCTGGTACTGCACTTAAATTAAAAGGGAGCCACTTATGATACAAAAGTCTATACTTTTTTCCCCTGGTTACTTCAAAGTCCAGAAACCCTACATTCCGCTATGTAGATACTTGGGACTCGTTGGGATGGGGTTCTTTCGTATGCAGCGATTCCATCAGAATCCACGATGCCATGACCCAGACCCTAAACCGCCTCTGCCGCATAATTCCCCTAATTATCCTACACCCTAAACCCCATCATTCCTATATTGGGGCATAGCCTACTGTTTCGCTGGGTTTGGCACTCTAAACAGAAGCCTCTAAAACCAGAAGGAAAGCAACTGTTTATTATTTCTTGAAAACTTGGAAACCCCTGAACCCCAAGTACAATCTAGAACAGTCGTTTCTACCATGTTTTGTTCCCCATAAGAGTATCGTCAGGAAGCCCGGCATCCCTAGGCTTGGTGCCTCCGGTACTTGGAGGTTCGTGGGTTGTTTTCGTAAGTGGGGTTAGAAGTATTATTCATATAGCGTTAACCCATTCAAGTAGGTTAACTTTTGTCACAACACACACTATTGGGGGACAGAGAGCTACCCCTGAACCTCCAAGTAAAGTCTCGGAGGCGCGGTTGCGCCTGGACGCGAATCGAGCGTGGACCACGGCTCAGGTGCTCGTCTTCGGGTTCGGGGCGCCTTGTTTAGGCTTAGAGCCTAGGGTTTAACGTAGGGTTTAGGTCAGGTTTTAGGTTGAGGGTCTAGGGTTGAGGCCAAGTCTAGACCTCGCCGGTGGAGCCAACAACCTACCATTTTTGGCTTGGGGTCATGGGCTACTCTTTCGTAGGTTCGTGCTAAAAGCAGGGCGTTCGGCATTGAGGGCTTAAGCTTTGGGGTGCTTCGGGCTCAAGGCTGTACAGAGTTTCAGGGTTCCGGGGTCAGTGATGATCCGCGTTAGGGCGGCAAGGGTTTAGCCGTTGGGACTTTGTGAAGGTTCTGTGTCTATATACTAGGACCCAAAGTAGGCCCTTATTCCCTTTTTTGAGGCTTAGGGCTTAGGTTCCCTTATAAACCCCTTTAAACCAAAAAGGGCACCCTTTTTATTCCTAGGTTACTCTAAGGTCTAGTATATGTGTGGGAGATGGAGGCCTGAGGGTTTCAGGGCTTGATCTTCTTGACGGTTCGGGTTCTTATTCCCTAAGGGTCCAAGTAGTCCTTTTCCTGGTTTTTGACACCGAAACTAGGACCCAGAGTAGGCCCTTATTCCCTTTTTAAGGGTTCAGGTTCCCTTTTAAGCCACTTCAAACCAAAAAGGACACCTTTTTTTTCCTAGGTTACTCTTGGGTCCAGGAAATAAGGCCTAACGTCCTACCATAAGGAGTACTTGGACCCTCGGGGGCTGTGTTTCTGCTTTCTGGTATCAGCTTATCGGGTTTAGGGTCCTTTGGTCTACTTGGCGGATCATGGGGCCTAGTAAGTAGGGTTACAAGTACTCTAATTGGGCTTATAAGTATAGTTAGCCTTTGATAACAACACAAGTTACTAAGTCCCATGATCCTTTAAACCCTAAACCTCCTCTAAACCCCAAACCCCCATGCATCCCTGAAAGATCCCTTTTTTGATCCCCTTAAGGAACCCTTGAAGTTACTAAGTCCCATGATCCTTCAAGTATGGTTTAGGGTAGCAGAGGCCGTCAGGCAGCAGATCCCAGTCCGGCCATCTGGGAGTTTCCGAAAATGGGGGGGGATACCTTATTTTGGGGTCCTTCTAAGGATCCTACTATTTAGGGTACTATGTTAGGGTCCCCTATTTTCAGAAGCTCCCATCTGCATCCCAGAGACTCCGATCTCCCTTCATTGAGGGTTTAGGGTTTAGGGCTCCTTTGAGGGATCCTTGAAAGGATCCATAATGCTTAGGGTTTAGGAGACTCCAATATCCCTCAATTCAGGAATATACCTTAAATCATATATAAGGATCCTATTATAACTTGAGCCATATTCAGTAATTCAGGGATGTTGGAGTCTCTGGGATTCTGTTCACAAGACTACGCGCTGGACAGCCCCGACTCTCACAATCACCGAAATCTACAACCCTTTCTACGATTTGCTTAAGAACCCCCAAAAAATAAAAAAAACATATTCCTTATGGGGGCAATATAGGGATTATTATTTTTTTGGGGGGGGGTTCTTAAGCAAATAGTAGCTTTTGAGGGTCCAAGTGCCCAAAGCAAGGTCTCCCAGTGGAGCCTTTGCTTCCCCGTTTTGGTGGTCTTAGGTTCCTTCTACAAGTACCCCAGTGTAGATCCCGGATTTAGTATACTACGGCTGATGATATAAATCCTGCATTTCTACCAAAAACTGAGCCTTTTTAAACTTGAGTTACTGAAGATCCTAGAAAGGGTGGGGGGGGATTGAAGTCCACTATGTGGGATTGAAGCCCTACTGCTTGGTACCTTGTTATAGGGCTAGGCTAGCCCTCAACTCAAGGCCCCTTGAGTATAAAGCCCCTTGCTTCAAGAGCCTTAAACTTAAGATTGGAAGCTCGAAGATAACCCTGATGAATGCAGACCGGTATACTACTGCTGATGGACAAAATCCTGCGTTACCCATTATAAGGAATATACCATAGTTCCCATAGTTTAGAGTCCTTAGGAGCATGCAGGATTTTGTCCACCAGCAGTAGTAAACGAAATCCGGGATCTACACTGAGGGTTAGCAGAGATCAGCTGTCCATCTTCGATAGGCTGCGGAGTTCTTGAACAGCCTGAGTCCTGCCGCAGTGGCCCTTACAGACTACCTGGAGGCGCAGGGTTCTAGGGGGAACCCTCTGCCCTTTCACAATACGTGGAGGATCATGGGACTTGGCAGGTAAGGTTATAAGTAGCCTAGTTGGGGTTAGAAGTAGGTTATAAGCGTAGTTGATCCGAATAAGAAACCCGAGTTACTAAGCCCCAGTAGACTCTACAGAGAGGGCTTGCTTACCAGTGGTTAGTAGGGAATGGAAGAATGGTAGCAATAGAAGTTATAACTGTACCCCATTCCTCCATTCCCTACTAACCAAAGGTAAAGATCTCTTTAAAGGAACCCTAAACCCCTATAGATCCCTTTAAGGGAACCCTACACCCCTATAGATCCCTTTAAAGGAACCCTATCGATCCCTTAACCAACGGTAAGCTTAGGGATCCCAGAGGTTAGGAGCTCAGAGGCTTCGGGTTTCATTAGCAGCAGGTTGAGGTTTTCAGCTTCGGTGGCTGTATGTGGGAGTTTCCGAGAATAGGGAACCCTAATAGAGTAGCCTAAATAGATAGGATCCTTATTATAAGGACCCCCAAATCAGGTACCCCTCATTTTCGGAAACTCCAATGTGAGTCGGATGGAGGCGGTTTAAGGTGTTCTGGCAAGGATTTGAATACCATCGATGCGCGGGTCTGCACTGTGACCTCACACACCTCTTTACCAGTCCTTCCTTCATGTAAAGTGCAGACATGCCTGTGAAGCTGACTTGCAGGAACCATATGGGTGTTTGTCAAAACTATGGTCCCTTTTTGGGTCCCTATTTTAGTACGGCACGTATTATTTAGGGTACCCAAACAGGGACCTTCATCTTGACAACCACCCATATAGCCTTGAAACTTAGGGCGTCGCACTATTTCTCTACACGGCTCCTGAATGTATATCTGCACTGTCTTTAACCCTTAGCATGGGTTCAGAGCCCAGTTTTCTTCCTTCCAGAAAGTCCGAGCTTCCAAGACCCCCTAGCGCTGTCTTGACTTTGCTGGCAGGCATGGGTTCAGAGCCCATTCCACATAAACCTGGCTTCCGAAAACCTTTGCGATAACTTATCAACGTGCGACCACATTGAGACGTGGGTAGGTCGGGTATCAGTGACTCCTTGCTCTTCGCAAGTAAACCCAAAGAAGGATAAATCCTTAGAGCTCGCCCATACACCCTTACAACATTCAACGCCCGAGAAAAGGAAGCGAACTCCAAACTCTTTCCACCCCTTACAGACTCCTCAAATATCAGCCCCAAAAAACCATTCTCGCCAGTCTGAAGCCCAAAAATCCTTTTTGAAAACTCACCAAGAAGGGGCTTGAACTCCGAACCCTAAACCCTAAGCCCTAAATTCCGAACCCTAAACCGTATAAACCCTAAACTCCGAACCCTAAACCCTATAAACCCTAAACTCCGAACCCTAAACCCTAAACTCCGAAACCTAAACCCTAAACTCCAGACCTTAAGCCTCCAAACGGATTCAGGAGCCGACGCAGTGGGAGCCGGGTCAGTCGGCTGCAGAGTTCCTGCAGCAGTGGGAGGCTTTCGGCTTTTGTGGGTTTTTTGGGTGGTTTCAGGGGGTTTAGGTTTGTAGTGTTTTGGGTGGTGTTCGTTTTGTTTTGGTTTTGGGTGGTTTTACTGGTTTATGTTAGTACTGTTATGGGGGTTTCAAGGGTTTGAGGGGGTTTCAGGGCTTAGAGTTTGAGGGCTTTGAATTTTAGGGTTTACGGGTTTAGGGGTAAGGGTAGGGTTTTGGGGTTTAGGGCTTGCGGGTTTAGGGCTTAGGGGTTTAGGGTTGAAGTGTTTTTAGGGTTTATGGTTTTAGTGTCTAGCTTTGGGGTTTGGGGTTATTAGGATTGCGAAAAGGGTGGTGATAGGCTTTTGTTGGCTTGATAGTCTGAATTATCCTAGGCATTGTACAGGGGCCGCTAAACATGAGTTTATACCCCTAGGGATCAAAGTAGCCCAAAAGCCTTATACAGTGTGGTCTTTAGGCCCAAAAGCCTTAATATATGAGTCCTTAGATCCCTAGGGTTACGGGTTGAAGGCTCTTGAGTTGTTGCGCGAGTGCAAATCCGTGGGTTTGAAGTCCATACAGTCGCTGACTTTTTCTATAATAAGCACTATCTAGAGGTCCTTAGGAAGACCGCCTTGCAAAGAAAACGGTTTCCACTAAAACGAACTCCGTACCGCCCTAATGCACCTTTGTGAAACCTGTAGCACGCTGTTGCAAAACCCTTGTGGCTACGGTTACTAATGGGCCTTAACCATTAGAGTAGCCTATACCCCCAAGCCCTATTCTAACTAAGAAGGCCCCTACATTGTCCCCTTATAGTTGCCCTCGTAGTAGCCCTTTTAGACCCCTTTCAAGGAACCCCTATTCTATCTATTGAGGTCCCTGTAGTACCTATCTGCTTATTAAGGCCCCTACATTATAGAACTCTACTATAGATCTGTTATAGACCCCTTCAAGGATCCCTTTAAAGAAGGCCCTATAGCACCAGACTTCCCAGCCTCCTTTTTGGCAGGATGTCTCCACGGCCACCGGCAGCCGAGTGCGCCTGGCCGTGGACGAGAGCCTGACCGAGGCCTGCAGTCTCCGGGAGCCTTGGAAGGTCAAAGGGGTCTTTAATATGGGGTACTATAACGGGATCTATAGTAGGGTTCTATAAAATAGGGGCCTTATGGTAGCTACTTATACTATATATATATATATATATATATATTTTTTTTTTTTTTTTTTTTTTTTTTTTTTTTTTTTTTTTTTTTTTTTTTTTTTTTTTTTTTTTTTTTTTTTTTGTTTTTGTTTTTTTGTTGTTTTTTTTTTTTTGGGGGGGGGTGCTTATTGATTCGGCTTGGGGTCTTTTTCCCTTCTGGTGCTTAGTAGGGAATGGGGGGATAGATCCGTGTAGTGGTCCTTATAGAATCCCCAACAATAGTCTCCACAATCCACCCTACAAAGAACAAGGGAGTCAGTCACGAGGGTCGAGGTTTATGACTCTTTTCAGGGTTCCTTTCTATGGTTCGGCTAGGTAAGGGCTACCATAAGGGCAATTATAAGGATATATTGTAGGGGCCTTGATACTGTGAATAGGGTTTGGGGGTATCTTGTACTATAAAGACAATACGTAAGGAACTCCCCCAAAATAGTATTGGTGCTTATTTTGGCCCTGCATTACTGTACTTAGGTTCCTGCGTAGCCCTCGTACCTGTACCCTTATTCCTACTATTCGGTGTTAATAAAGGGAGCTTGAAATAAGAAGGACAAAAGGGTGCTACTATAATACAATTACTTGGAGATTCAAGAACCTACTGCTTTAGGGGGTTATACCCTATAAGCGGTCATAACCTACTATGTTGTAGGGTTTGGTGATACAGGTCTACAGGTAGGCCGAAAACAGTAAACAGTACAGGAAATGGGCACCTGACGAAGAAACTTTGAGTCTTCAGGGTTCCCTTGCGACTTTAATGATGGCATAAAACTTTAAGGCGCTTGGAGACTTTGTTACTTTGTTCCTTTTTTGGTTCCGGTCTTCTTTTTTTCGGGGTCTCCGAAAAAGTAGTTTTTTGCTTACCTTCCAAGGGGAGTCGAGAAAACCATACGGTTAGCCTGTAGTTTCCCTAGGATACTGGACAAGTACTTCGTGGAGTTACATTGGGATTCTGGATGTTGCAATACATAACCAGGCAGAGAGGACTCCTTTTCATACGGTTGATGATATAAATGATGCGTTACCTTAATGACCCTAGACTATGGGAATTATGGTATGTTCCTTCTTATGGGTGATGCATGATTTATATTGTCAACCGTAGTGTGTAGAAGCCCTGCACCCCTGAGCTTGCCCAGAAAAGTAATATAGGGACCTTGATATCTACCAACACTATTTTTTGGGGGGGTCCTTATCATGATTCTAGTATAAGAGACCCCCAAAGCCCTATTCTAATTATTCAGGCCCGCTATATCATAGTACTATAGATCCCTTATAGACCTCTTTCAAGGAGCCCTTTAAAGGAACCCCTCCTCTGATTAACAAGGTTCATAAGGCCCCCTATAGTCTAGGACCCAGAGTAGGCCCTTATTCCCTTTTTAAGGGTTTCGGTTCCCTTATAGCCCCCTTTATCCCAAAAAGGGCACCCTTTTTAGTCTTAGGTTACTCTTGGGTCTAGTAGTACTGCGTGTCACGCAGGGCGTGGTGAGCCTGGAAGACCTCACCAAGTGCAAGGCACCCGTGGGATTGGGAACTTCACCCCCCAGCCAGGGTGTAGAAATAAAGGGTTTAGCGTGTAGCGTTTCGGGTTTAATTAGGGTTTCGGATTTATGGTTTCGGGTTTAGGATTTCGGATTGATGGTTTAGGGTTTAGGGTTGAGTAGGTGGTAAGGGGTGCAGGTCTTTGAGTCGAATGTAGAGCCGTGATAATGAAAGTAGGTTGTTTTTGGCGAGGACGTAACATACCATAAGTGTCCAAGTCTGTTGTAGTATTTCTTTTGCAGGTTCGATAGCCGTGCGCTGTCCCTAGCCCCAGTCGAATTCACTTAGGCTTGTATATTGGATTTCAGGGGTTGGGATTCAGTCTTCCTCGCATGAAGTGATCGGTCACAGATTCGGGTTGTGTGTTAAAGGATGCATTGGGGGTGTATACTCCTGTCAACTCTTCAAGCCTTAGCTTTAGCACGCCTGGACCCAGTCATGTAGCTAGCGACCGTGACCTTGCCGATGGGCAACTTTCGACACTATCCGAAGCATCTCGCAGATCATAAGTTTCCATGGGGGCCAGAAATTACAACCCAAGTATTCGTTCCCTTCCCACAGACAGGATTGTGTTGTCAATCTACGTCAGCACCAACCCAACAGAAAACGAGCTAAGTGATTTACATTAAGCCACCCGAGCCGGTCTTACAGATACTTAGCTGAACAAACACGGCCAGCTGTGGCCTCATACATGTCGTCTGGCAGCACAGGAGTGCATTTCGGAAGCTATCGAGTGGAAACCCCGCCAAAATAATATAGGGGCTTAAGCAATCACCAACATGATTCCAGTTATAATACAATAAGCCCCACCTGGAGAAGCCTGCCGCACCTGGCCAACAACAGTAGTCTTTAGAGCCCCGCTAGACCTTAAGCGAACTTCACCCTAAACCCTAAAACTCTACACCTTAAACCCCCAAAAACCCGCTAAAACCCTATACCTTAAACCTGAGGAGGAAAAGGGCCCTCAAAAAAAACAAAAAAACGTAAAGCCCTAAGACGCTCTATGAAGATCTGGCAAACATCGGCCTCGACCACCCTCAACAATCTCACAAACATCGTAGTCAGAAGTGCCTGAGTAGTACCCTCAAAGGGTTCCTCAAACGGTTCTATGCGGGATAGCTGGGAATTTAGGGTCTACTAGGTTCCTGAGTAGTAGTCGCCTTTTGCCCTTTAAGGGTCCCTTTAGGGGCTCTTATAAGGGCACCCTCAAGCATTCTGTACTATAAGGGTTCCTGAATAGTAAATACTCTTTTGCCTGTGTTTTTTTAAGGTCCCCGTATTTTGAAGAGGCTCAGGAGCCGAGTAATCGTAAGTGCCCGCAGAGTTTTATCCTTTTGTGAACCTCGACACCACGGCAAGGAAGCGGTAGAAAAAGCCCGATAAACCCAACCAGAAAACTTAAACCAGTGTCATTAGGCAAAACCGTGCATTTTTTAAATTCACGCAAAACAAGAGCATTAGAGTTTTCGTCGAGCCCCACAATCGTTCAGCGAGGCGCCGATCGCCGCATTGGTGCTGAAGCCATCACTCCAAGGACAATTGCAAAACACACGTAGGGCTTCTGGGTGGCTTGCATTAAGTTTAGGGTTTGCATGTATTTATCACTTTGTTTTTGAGTGAGTGGGTGGTATATCTGCAGGGCTGCGGTACTTTGCGAGAGAGTTTCCGATTGGAGACTATAGACACTGTAGACGGGGTTTTGGGCGGTTTAAGGTTTGGGGTTTTCGGATTCCGGGCAACATGCCACGCTTCATTTCAGTCACTACCGCAGCCTATTCCGCTCTAGCTCCCTCAGGAAACCCCAAGGGTCCAAAGGACTCAATAGTTAGGTACTCGGTTTAGGATAGTAGCTATGTAGGGTAGGATTTTGGAGAGTGTATGATTATTAGGTACTTGGACCCTTGAGGAAAAGGCTTGTGCTTTTCCAGTGCAGGGAGTCGGGCATCTTGCGGAGCACCAGCATGCTTTCCCAAAGGGTCCAAAGTACCGATATATAGTAGAATGTAGGGTTTCTAATTCTTTGTTAGGAAATACTACTATGAGTTGGGGAAGTATATTCCCCATAGCAGTACAGTGGACCCTTTGGGTTTGGGCCCCCCTCAGTCGAACAGCAGTCTGAGTGGGTCCTTGAGCCCAAGAAGCTCCCCAAGAGAGCCCAATACCCCTTAAAGGGAACACTCCAGAAAGCCGGGTTTGGGGTTCCTATAAGGGTCCCTTTAAAGGGATCTATAGGGATTCTATAAAGGGTTTAAGGTTTAGGGGTTTAGGGGTTTTACGGGTTTACAGTAAAGGGAACTCCAGAAAGTTGGAATATGGATCAATGGTAGGATCCCTTATAATTTACCTTAAAGGGTTTAGGATAATCATATTCCAGCTTTCTGGCTTTTCCACGTACCTTAAATGAGGAATATAGCTGAAATCATAACATGAAGCCCTATATAATTCAAGCCATATTCCTTAATTAAGGGATATTGGGCTCTCTGGGCCTGTAATACATCCTATTTGCCCTTGGATACTACCTACAGTCTCCATCGTAGTTCCTTTTTTGGTTCACCAGTTTTCTGGTTAGGATCCTACAATATAGTTCTTAGTTAGCCAAAAAAGGAATTACAATTAATGGAGACTGGAGGTAACTATAAGCACCATAAGCATTAAACCCACAAGCCTCAACCAAGCTGGCCTCGAAAGACATCATCGAAGCTTGACGACCCGTCGCGGTTACTTTGCTTACAACATCGCAAGCCGCAGTCTTCGTATAGAGGTATTGCGGTTCAGGGTTAGGAGCTTTACCTGTAGCCGAAAAGACTACTTTTTAAGAAGAACTATATAGAGAAACCATAATAAGGAACCCTAAAAAGGTAGGTCTTTCCGGCTACAGGTAGGGTTTGTCTAAAGTAAGGGTCAGAGCTATCTGGCTTTAGGATTCGCCACATCACCAACATCTCAGCCCATCATTCACCGACTAAACCTTCGGCACCAAGGACGCCATGCCAAAGCTGCGCAAAAATGCCCTGCCCCCCATTCCGTGACGCAAGCCCTAGAGCCATGAACCCCAGAAAGCTAAAAAACCCTAAACTCTAAAACCTAAACCCTAAACCCAAGACAAAGCAAAGTAGCCCGAGCTTTCAGATCTCCGGGGCACCAGTTTTCGGCAGGAATCGAGCAAACTGTGGCCATGTCGATGTGGGCTTTAGAGAGAGGTCCGGTGGCCTAGTGAGTTTTCACAGGTCTGGGAGTTTCCGAAAATTGGGGTACCTTATTTGGGGGTCTTCTTCATAAGGATCCTACTATTCTGCTATATTAGGGTCCCCCATTTTCGGAAAGCCCAATTTGGGTTTAGGGCTTCTGACTTGTTGCTATAAACCCTGTAAGGTGTTTAATTCTTCGTTGTCCTTTGCAGACTCACGAAGAACAAGGAAGAGGGTTGTTGTTGCAGGACTCTTCAAAAGACTACATGAAGGGCATAGGTCCTTACGTATATTTCTTCACACAAACGGTCACGATTACTATTAGATGGTCAGTAATCGTATTCTGGCTACTATTATCATCATGATCATCATTACTACTACTACTACTACTACTACTACTACTACTACTACTACTACTACTACTACTACTACTACTACTACTACTACTAGTACTGGTACTGGTACTGGTACTGGTACTGGTACTGGTACTGGTACTGGTACTGGTACTGGTACTGGTACTGGTACTAGTACTACAAGTACTAGTACAAGTACTAGTACTAGTACTAGTACTAGTACTAGTACTAGTACTAGTACTAGTACCAGTACCAGTACCAGTACCAGTACTAGTACTACAACAACTACAACAACAACTACTACTACTACTACTACTAGTACTGGTACTGGTACTGGTACTGGTGCTGGTGCTGGTACTGGTACTGGTACTGGTACTGGTACTGGTACTGGTACTGGTACTGGTACTGGTACTGGTACTGGTACTAGTACTAGTACTAGTACTAGTACTAGTACTAGTCCTACAACTACTAGTACTAGTACTAGTACTAGTACTACAACAACTACTACTACTACTACTACTACTACTAGTACTGGTACTGGTACTGGTACTGGTACTGGTACTGGTACTGGTACTGGTACTGGTACTGGTACTGGTACTAGTACTAGTACTAGTACTAGTACTAGTACTAGTACTAGTACTACAACAACTACAACAACTACTACTACTACTACTACTACTACTACTACTACTACTACTACTACTACTACTACTACTACTACTACTAAGGGTTCCAACAAAGAACCTACGTAGCAGGAGTCGAAGAACCGGGGCTGGGCTTCTAACATCTTTCATCGGATTCATGGAAGCCTAGACCACCCTTGTCCTTTTAGAAATAATGGACAGAGCCCTATACCTATATCCCTGGGACTTAGTAATTATAATTATAAGTAAGGTTATGAGTAAGTAGCCTATAGTTGGGGGTTAGAACTAGGTTGTAAGTATAGTTGGCTGAATAATAGCCCGAGTTACTAAGCCCCAGTAGACTTTACAGAGAGGGCTTGGGGGATCCCAGAGGTTAGAGCAGAAGCCCAAAAGTTGAACACCCCATAGCCTCAAACCTTAACAGCAATGTATAGGGAATTCCAGCACTATTTGGCCAAAATCCGGTTTCCAACTGTATGGGGTTTACTGTAGACCCCTCAGCCCTCGTCCTGCATGAGGTTAGATGGTTGATTTAAGGGTTTAGGGTTTGGGTTTAGGTACTTAGGGTGGGTTATATTCTACCCCAAAAGGGTCCTAAAGACCTATGTAGCGGAATTTTGTAGGGTTTCTATAAATGGAACTACTAGTATGGTTTGGTAAGTACTCCCCGCATCTAGGTTCTTAAGACCCTTAGGGTGCTATGCTAGAAGGGAACTTGGAGGATCATGGGACTCAGTAAGTAAGGTTATAAGTACCCTAGTTGGGGTTATAAGTATAGTTACCCTAAAAATAACTCTATCTACTAAGTCCCATGATCCTTTAAACCCTAAACCTCCCTCAAACCCTAAACCCCCGTAGATCCCCTATAGATCCCTTTAAGGAACCCTTTAAGTTACTAAGTCCCATGATCCTTTAAGAATGCGTGCCCAGGTGCCATGCCCGTGTTGAGCTCGGCCTTCGAGTCCGGCGTGGCTCTGGTGCCGCACTTGGGGGGCGGGAGGGGGGTTAGGTTTCTTTAAGGCTCCATTTACCCATATAGTAGATGCTTAGGCCTTAAAGGGGTCCCTATATGGGTACTTTAAGGCCCAAGTATAGACTGTATGGGTACATGGAGCCTTAGGGCAGGGTTCTAGAGTTTTGGCTTAGAGTTTTAGGCTTTGCACTTGGGGCTTGAGGTTCAGGGTTTGCGTTTTGACTTCTGTGTCTCGAGTCTTGGGTTTTAGCTCCGTTGCGTTTAGTAGTACGGTATTATTGGTGTTGCAATGGCTGTTTCTGGCGAGTTCATTCGCCAAAGCGCCAACTATCCTTTTAATCTTAGTAGCTGAGTGGATACACTTTACACTTTTCGGGATAATATTACCCACTCTGAAGCAGAAAGTGTAAACTTTTTTGGGGCTTATGAACTCAGCAACTCAGTAATCAACCCGCGTGTCAACTAGTTCCAGAGTTGTATACATAAGAGGACTTGAGTCACATGACTTACCCTAAGGCCCTAAAGTAGTTCTTTTTGGGGTTCATATTTAGAATCCTATTAGGTAATCCCAAAAAGGAACTACTTTGGGGCCTATGGGTAGTGTACACTCCTTAGTTGAGGGTAGTTGAACTCTTATAATAAGGGCATTAAAGGAGGGCAATTAGAGGGGAGAGATTTTGGTGCCAACTGTTTTGTTGAAGGGGTGCTTATACAAGTTGGATGTGGGTTTGAGCTTACAGGACCCTTGAAAGGGGTACAAGGTTACTACAGTTCCTAGGGTTTAGGTTGCAGTGTAAATTTCCCGATGCAGCATGTCGGCTCCATTCGCGGAGGCTGTACTACTAGGACCCAGAGTAGGCCCTTATTCCCTTTTTTGAGGCTTAGGTTCCCTTATAAGCCCCTTTAAACCAAAAAGGGCACCCTTCTTATTCCTAGGTTACTCTTAGGTCTAGCCTATTTTAACAGTCGGCGCTTGTGTTTTCTTGGGTCGGGTTGGAAGTGAGTATAAGCCCTAAACACCCTAAGCCGGTGCTGATGCTCCAGTGCTGTGATGGTGTGTGTGTGTGTGTTAATATATATATAATAGTAATAATAATAACAATAATACAGCAATTAAGAATAATAATAATAGTAACTATAATCATAGTAATTGTAACAATTATGATAATATGAACTTGTCGTCTGAGAGGTGCTCTTCTTTTCTTGGTTTCTGGAGTGCGCACCCCTAGACGGGTAACAAAAAGCACGAAGCCCCGACACCGTTGCTGTGGATCCTCAGCGGCAGTTCATCTACTACGTCGTCTTCATTTCAGTATGTACGGACACCTTCCTTTTAAGAGCCTTCTTGTAATTAAAGTATACTATATAGTAAATTGCATCCATACCCTCACTCCCACAGAGTCCACTGAAACCCTCACGGAAACCTAAATCCCAAAGCCTTGAGGTTCATTTCGCGTTGCTGGGCGCAGCCCTGGTTTCTCGGCCCATGATGGTGTTCTAATGGGAGGGCGGTATTGTTCGGGTTCTGATAAGGGTTTACTGCTTTTGCATGTGGGGCTCAGGGGATTATAGTGCTTAGTTATTAACTTTGTTTGTCTTAATAATAGGCTTGAGGGTTTAGGGTTCTCGTCAGCCTCTGAGGTTGTAATGTCTGTGCAGGAGATCGAGTAGGGTCACAAGGTCTTAATTAAAGGGTTTCATAGTGGACCTGCAAGGTTTTTGCAATCGTTGTATATAGGATTAGCCAGTATATGTTACATGCTGTTCGCAGACTTCCCACATCAAGAGTTCCGCGAACGTTTTGGTGGAGAGATTGAAGCAAAAATTGAGTCACCAGGACCGATGCAGAAGAAAATGACACCTCCATATATGCGACCTGCATCTACCCGCTTTAGCAAGGCGAGGGATAGACAATCTCCCCAAGTCTCGAGCCGTGAACCCGAAAGCCCAAAAGACCGCCGAAAGACATGCCTTCAGTATTCATGGAGCGCTACTCTAAACCCTACAATCCCCAAGCACCGCTATCCTACTGCCCTAAACCATGTGATGAGGTGACAAAACACTACTGAACTAAACCTAAACCCCCACGCCGTACTACTCCAGCACCCTAGTACCTAGACCCTGAATCCCTAAACCCCTAAACCCTTAACCCTAAACCCCTAAACCCTAAAACCCTAAATCCCTAAACCCCTACACCCTAAAAACCCCTAAACCCTGGTCACCCTAGTGGCCCTGGTACCCTGAACATCTGGGAACCTTCAGGTCCAGCAACCTTGGAAGGGCGATGCCGGCAAGGCGGACCGTCAGGGCTCCAGGTCTTTGGGGGATTTCCTACCTAGGGGGGGGAGGGGGTCCTTAAAGGGCTCTTTAAAGGGATCTATAAAGGAGTAGGATTCAAGGATCATGAGACTTAGTACTGTCCGACCTAAAGGCTCATGCCCTAACCTTCTTCTAGGATGCCTACTTTTCTGTGTAACAGATTCTAACTCAAGCACTAGGTACCCTAAAGGGGTGGGGTATAAGCCTCTAGGTGGGCAGCAGAACTGTAGCCTCTTTGATGGGCCTCGTCAGTCCTAAGCCGATAGATTTTGGAGACGGGGGAGGGCGAGGTTCAAAGGGCCACGGTAACATTACCAGGATTAGTCCGAAAACAGATCAGAAGGGGTCACTGCTTGCGTCCAGGCACACGTTGACAGCTTCCTACATATCCCGCAGTCCAAGGTTGTTCACTTGTCGGGGCGTCTTGGGTATTTTAGGGTTTAGGGTTTAGGGCTATGCCGGCCGCTGCTCTGCTTCAGCAGCAAGGTAGCACTCCACCGGCCACAACCATGTCGATAACTCTGAGTGTCAGCTTGCTCAGTGGCAGAAGCATCTCTCTGGAAGTTGAGCCGGAGGATTGCATCCTGTTGCTAAAGCAGCGTGCTCAGACTGCGCTAGGTGTGGCTGCGGGCGTCCTGTTGCACTCATCTGGCAGCTTGGACGAAGCAGCATCAGTTCAGCAGACAGGGCTGAAGAACGGGGATGAGCTGACATATCAGGTACGAAGAGTGTTGATATGTGACAACCCTGGTGCGTTTGCTGCCATCCTCAGCGACGGCTCCGTCGTCACTTGGGGCCATGCTGGCTTTGGTGGTGACAGCACGTCTGTTCAGCCTAAGCTGAATAGCGTGCGAGAAATCCAAAGCTGTTTCAGCGCTTTTGCCGCGATCTTGGGAGATGGCTCGGTAGTGCTCCTGGGCTTTTGGTATTGTACATACTCTATACTTCGTCAAACTTTGAGGTTAGAGAGAGTACAGGCAGCGGAGGTTTGTCACAGGAGCTGTACTCTTAGTTCATTATTTATATGAGGGTTCACGTTGCTGTTGACCCTAAACTCCTAAACCTTGAGCTCCATCATGTGCTTTCGCAACCAAGGACTTGGGGTCATACCCAGTACGGAGGTGACAGCAGCCCCGTACAAAGCCAGCTGAAGAATGTGCAGCACGTCGCTGCAACTGATAGGGCCTTTGCAGCCATCCTCCTAGATGGCTCCCTGGTTACATGGGGTGATGCTATTTCAGGAGGGGATAGCAGTTCCGTGCATCATCAGCTGAAAGGAGTGCAGACGATCCGTGCTTCAAAAAATGCATTTGCCGCAATTCTCGGTGACGGCTCCGTCGTGACGTGGGGACATGTTTTCCGTGGGGGCGACAGCAGTTCCTGGATTCGTGAGAAGGAGTCCTTTTTGCTTACCATAACAGATGGCAAGCAACTAGTTTAACATGCCTACCTGTATCCCCAAACCCTACGAAAATGTAGCTTATGACCCCTTAATTACAAGGCTTTTTTTGATCCCCAGGTACTTACTTCAGGGTAACTCTAGAAAAGCCGCTAATAACACCAATCCTCAGAGCCGCTCCCTAAAATGGTTACCCACACTTGGAGGTTCATGGGTAGGGTTGCAAGTCCCCTAATATGGGTTATAACCACAGTTATCCTACTTATAATTATAACTATCCATGAACCTCCAAGTAGGCTCCATAGTATTTCGTTTTGGGGGGGGGTTCATACGTAGAACCCTACAAGATAAGTCCCCAAAAGGAACTACTATGTAGCCTATGCGTATGCAACTTAAAGACAAAGCCCACGAACTTTTGTGCGACCCTGCACGAGCTATCAAAAAGCCGACATTGGAAAAAAAAGCACCGGCATCTGTTTTTATTTCTCCCTTCATAAAGCTTTACGAAAACTGTACGAAAGTCTATACAACCTTTAGGCCCCGTTCAAGATCGGCTGAAGAACGTCCAGCAGATCCAATCCTCGCACCGAGCTTTTGCAGCTATCCTCGGCAATGGCTCCGTGGTAACCTGGGGCGATGCCATGCACGGTGGTGACAGCAGTGACTGCGTTCAGTTCAGTTTCAGTTTTCCGATTCTTAGTATCATGAGGTTACGCGTGGTTTGCCTTGCATGACAAAATGAAATACCATAACAGGGTTCTATAGCAACTGCGATGCTTACCCTATTCTGATAACTTGAACTAGTTTTTTTGTTGATAACTGAGGTCATGTGCATGACCGACTAGTAGATGTACAGCAGATCCAGTCTTCAATGAACGGATTTGCAGCCATTTGTGCAGATGGCTCTGTCGTAACTTAGCAGCTGAGTGGAAACACTTTACACTTTTTGGGGATAATATGATCCACTATAAAACTGAAAGTGTACACTTTGTTGGGGCTTATGAACTCAGCAACTAAAGTAAAAGCCAGAAAGTTGGAATATTATTATCCTAAGCCCTTTATGGTAAATTATAAGGCATCCTACCATGAAACCATATCCCAACTTTCTGGAGTTCCCAGTAAGGTAACTTGGGGCGCTTCAGACAGCAGGTCGGTACAAGAGCGGCTGAAGCAGGTGCGTCAAGTTCAAGCGAACTTGCACTCTTTTGCTGCCATCTTGGAAGATGGCTCCGTCGTATGTTGGGGTATCTGGGCTTTGGAGTACCATGCTTCATTATTTTTCCTAAAAGGAACCATTATTCCTTAAAAGCCCAGGTATGGTCGCTGGAGGTGACAGCAGCCACGTGCAAGATCAACTGACGAATGTGCGCGAGATTCAGGAGTTTCCGAAAATAGGGGACCCTACTACAGTACCCCAAGTAGTAGGATCCTTATTACAAGGACCCCAAAATAAGGTACCCCTAATTTTCGGAAACTTCCATTCAGGCCTCGAGCAGGGCCTTTGCAGCTCTTTGCGGCGATGGCTCGGTTGTCACATGGGGAGATGCGGATTATGGTGGCGATAGCCGTGGTGTGCAGGATCAGTTGCGAGATGTACATCACATCAAAGCTGCAGAGAGGGCCTTCGCAGCAATCTTGGCCGACGGCTCCGTTGTGACTTGGGGACATGCTCCATCTGGTGGAGACAGCACCTCGGTACAGCAGCAACTCAGGAACGTGGAGCAGATCTCGGGTTCCTACAATGCTTTTGCTGCGATCCTTGGCGACGGATCTGTTGTTCCCTGGGGGGACCCTATCCACGGTGGTCTCAAGAGTATTCTCCAACTGAAGAACGAACTGAGGGCTATGCGCTTCGCCCGCCGGGCAGACCCTGCAGTTTAGTGGCCGCAAGAACCCTGGATTCTGCGCGGTCACCGTTGCAGAAAGGAACTCAGCCCCGTGAGGTACGCTTGGGTCCCAACCCTGGACCCTTAACCTTCCCCTAAGGGTCCATGTACTCATATAGTATATACATTGGCCTTAATGTAGCCCCTATATAGGTACTTTGGGGCCCATGTATCTCTATATGGGTACATGGACCCTTAGCGTTCTGCATTTTCCTGAATCCGTGAATATTTGGGCTCCTGCTGTCTGCCTCCCTAAGCCCCCAAACCCCTGAAGGGGTACTTCTGGGGTGCATGAAGAGGGGTCCTTCCCTTCAGGATCCGAGAACAAAGGATCTGTACATGTTGCATATATGTACATATATTAGATTGTTAGGTATACACAATTAAACAGACATGCATACATACATACAGACACACATACATACACATGTATTTGGTGTTCGTTCCTGCAGCTCCCATGTTTCCTGCAGCTCTTATGTATGTATGTATGTATGTATGTATGTATGCACTCATGCCTGTACGCACACTGTATGAAGTCAGGAGTGCATCCATGTCTGTATGCACCTATGCACGTACATAGAGAGCGGCTAAGGTTACTATATGGTTATATACAGGAGTTTATGAGGACGTCACGAAGTCATCCAAAACTCTGCTAGACCCTAGACCCCACATCCTACTAGAGTAGTTCTTTGAGGCCGATGCTCTCACGCCGAAACCTCGTGACCCTGAACCCTATAAGCTTAACCCCAAGATACCCTAAAGCAGCCCATCATCATCACCATTAGCATGGTCAGAATGGTCATACATGTATATGTACACACTAGAGGTATGTATACATATTTGTATACTAGGACCCAGAGTAGGCCCTTATTCCCTTTTTTGAGGCTTAGGTTCCCTTATAAGCCCCTTTAAACCAAAAAGGGCACCCTTTTTATTCCTAGGTTACTCTTAGGTCTAGTATATGTAGATACACATGAGCTCTAAATCCTGAATCTTCCGGTCCAAATCTCTGCTGCAGGTCCACGGGCTTGGTACGTTCACGCGCCTGAAAGAGGCGCGCACACGGATCTCTGAGGTCTGTTAGGGTTTCATAGCAGGGTCTAGTAAACCTGTGGCCGAAAAGACCTACCTTTTCAAGGCTATATATCGAAGCCATCATAAGGACCTCCAAATGTAGGTCTTTTCAGCCACAGGTAGGGCTCCATAAAAACGAATCAACATAGAGCTTCAATAGGGTTCATTGCAGGCCTTTTCGTTGTTGTCCATGCACCCACACTCACTGTGTACTTGGAGGATCATGGGACTTAGTAAGTAAGGTTACAAGTACCCTAATTGGAGTTATAAGTATAGTTACCTTATAACCCCAGTTACTAAGTCCCATGATCCTCCAAGAAGGGTTGCCTGCATCGGACAGGGCTCGGGACTTACGCCCAGGGTTTAAGGGTTTAGGTGGCGATCAAGGGTAAGGGAATAGTGTCGGTTGGAATAGTTTAGTGCTAGCAACCCAAAAAACACACACACACATATATATATATATATATATATATACACACACACATGGTTATAGAAACACGGTTATATGTACAATGCTTTTTTGTGTGACAAGATGTATAATACCTCCACCCCCCTCCCTCTTCCCCCCGACGACATGGACCTTCTGCAACGTTTGAGGACCTCAGAAGCCTTGTGAACAAGTGTGGCGCTTGAAACGGGCTGGTACCGAAGCCCCCCCCACCTTAAGGACGAAAGGAACCCTATATAAAAGGGTTTGAGGCTCACTTGTACCATATAGGGATTCATAGTATCTCGGTATAGGGCCCCTACTGCCAAGGGTCATTTGGTCCTTCAGGCATTTCTCAATTCGGCTTGCGGGCTTGGGCCAAGAACACCTGCAGGTCGACAAAACCCTCGACCCCAAACGCGACACACGAATTATGAACCCAAAGTGCTCAACCAGATGCTCTAAATACCCTAAATTTCTGAGAACTTTCTGAAATTGCCTGAAGCTGGGCGTCGATAGCTGAAGGTCCCTCTACTATTCCTTGAGTAAGCGTACTTGGAAGCCCCCGCAAGACCCCTTGTAATGTTCTGTAAGTCCTACATATGCCTGTGGTAAACCGTCAACCCGAAACCCTCCAGTAACTCCAGTAGGGGAAAAATCTCTGGCTGAATGCAGGATGTGCTTCAACCACATTTCGCCGACCTGGTCACGACAGGCTATGTCGAAAGTTCTCTATATTGGGGGGTCCTTGCAGTCTCCTTTTTCAGGGTGGCGCCTTCTTTCGGATTCCTAAAAGGGACCCTAATTTAGAACCACGCATATACATGCAAGGTTAGGTTTTCTGTTTTTGAGGCTTCGCACCTTCTGTGATAGGTTGCTAGAGGTTCGATAGGGTTTAGGATTTAGGTTTCAGGGGCTTACGATGCGGGGCGTAGGATTCAGGGTTCCAGGATCGCAGAACCCGACGCCGAGGGAGTGCAAGCTGAATTGGGTTCAGGTTAGGGTTTATCTGGAATGAGGATACCCCAAAATAGTATAGATAATTATTAATTAAGGTCCCTATATTAGGGTTTGCAGAATCACCTATTGTAAGTATAAGGTGGGTTTCTTCACGCATTGAACTTATTTGCATTTGTACTGCAAGGTAAAGTGTCCCGCAGCCCGCAAGACCCTGAAGCACAAGATAAAGCTTCCTGAATCAATACAACCAATATTTCTGAGGGCTGCTTAGCAGCAGGTTAATGTTATAAATACTAAACTATGTACCACAGAACCTTCTCCTTATCGGCAAGACCCTCATACAAAGCGAAGAGCATCTGACACCGCAACGCTGCTTATATAGGTCCTGAAGCTTGCATACCTTCGAGCTTTCCGAGATCCTGAATCCTAGCACTTTTTTCATGGCGAGAACACAACGGAGCCAAAAACAGGTGCTACGCTGGAGGTTCACCCTATAACTGGCCATAGACCCCAACCCCTAGCCCCGCGACCCTAAACTGTGACATAAACCCCAACCCCTAAACCCGAAACCCTAAGCCCTAAACCCTCACCCTTAAACCCCAAGACCTAAACCCTAGACCCTAACCCTAAACCCTAATACCCTAAACCCTAAACCCTAATACCCTATACCCTAAACCCTAAGACCAGGTGAGGGCCATGGATGGCAAGTCAGTGTCCCGAGCTGCCAAGAGGCTGGAAGCCGAAGCTCATGGACGAAAAATCACTGTTCCTTTAAAGGGATCTATAGAGGCACCTTTTCAGGGGTTCCCTTTAAGGGATCTATAGGGTTTGGGGGTTCATCAGCCGTATGTTCAGCATTTAGGGTGGAAGCCTAAGGGGATTTGATTTAGGGTTTAGGGTTTAGGGTTGGGGTTTAGGGTTTAGGGGTTTAGGGTTTGACTACGGGTTTAGGGTTTAGGGTGTAAGCTTATGGGGTTTGAGAAAGTTTGGGGTTTCTGGCTTCAAACCTGAGCTCGTAGTGACAATTTTGCCACACTAGTAGCCAGCGTACCTTTCTGGGAAGCAGGATGCACATTTGGGGTTTAGGTTTTTCACCTGCCGCGACTGTTTTAGGCAAGCTTCAGCCAGTGTTTCGGCTAGGGCGGGCCTATCGAAGAGACAAACCTACCATGATAAGGGTGATGACCCCACTAAAGGGGCCCAAATACTCATTTATACTACTGTTTAGGGTTTACGGTTTATGGTTTAGGGTCTCCTTTTTTCATTGTAGTATAATGGCCCCCCAAAAACCATATTCTAACCATTGGGTCATGGCTTGGACTGCTTTTCGCGCGTTGTCCTGGATTTGCTTGACCTTCACTAGAATACACATAGCCACGGAAAGGCGTCGATCGGCAGGCTTTGGATTTGAGGTGTTTGGGTTTACGGTTTCCAGTTTCAGGAAGCATATCGCGTTGGTGTAGTGCTACTCGGTAGCAGCTGCTGCCTCCTACTCCTACTCCTACCCCCACTGCTACTTATACTGCTTCTTCCACTCTTGCTCCTACTCCTACTGCTACTACCTTTACCGTTCTCGTCCTGCGGCGCCCGCGCAGATTCCGGTGGAAGAAGAAATGTTACTAGTAGTAGTATTGTCATTGTTATGTTTGTGATTATTGTTGTGAAATAGTGTTCCTGTTTTTGTGTTACTACAGTTGTGCTATGTTTTTAAAAAAAAAAATTGGGTACCGACTGGCCAGGCTCTTGACGCTACTGTCCAGGCCCTGATGGCTTCTAGAGGCGCGGTTTCAAGGGGGGTCGGGTTGGGTTTAGGTTTGGGGGTTTAGGGTCTGGGTGTAGCATTCAATGTGAGAACCCTAAACCCTAAAACCAGAGTAGGGTTTACATTTAGGGATCGTTTTAGAGTTTTTGAGTGTTGGGTTCAGTCAGGTTTTGGGCGCCATAAGCTTCCGGAGCATGGAAGGGTTCTCGTATCTTTCATACCTCGGCGCCAAAACTTATACTATTGAATACTGCATCGACGCGTGGGTCGACCGTCTGAAGGGTGAAAACGTCAAGAAGTTCAGCGAGCACGAGGCAGACAAGCAAAAGCTCGAGTCCGACATGGTGAAGACTATCGAGAAGAGAGACAAGCTCCAGGTAGAGGTGATTGACCAAAAAGAGAAATCGGTGACCGAGTACAATGCGCGGCAGAAGCTTCGGAGCCGGATTGACGAGCTGGAGGAAGGTAACCGTGGTCTCCAGGGTTCAGTGGTGAAGCTGCAAACGAGCCTTGAGGATGAAAAGGGTGAGACTGGTCGCCTCAACGGAGCGATCAAGGACCTTCCCCTAAGGCTCCATGTTCCCATATAGTATATACTTAGGCCTTAATAAGTACCTATATAGGGACCCCTTTAAGGCTTAAGTATCTGCTATAAAGGTACCTGGAGCCGAGGAGAATGCCAAGTTGTGGGTGGCTCACCTCAAAGGTTCCAAGGAGAAGTTCAAAGCTTCCAAGGGTGCGCCGAGCCTCTACTATTTGCTTAAGAACCCCCAAAAAATAAAAAATATATTCCTTATGGGGGTAATATAGGGGTTATTATTTTTTATTTTTTGTGGGTTTCTTAAGCAAATAGTAGGCCTGGTTTACTGGTTTTGATGGAAAGCCTGGCAGCTCCCCTAAACCCTACCTTAACCCTAAAGAACCTACCTTTTTTAGGGCTCCCTATTATGATTTCCTTATAGAAGTCCTTAAAAAGGTAGCTTCTTCAGGGTTAAGGTAAACCCTACCTGTGCACTTTTATTTTAACTGCAGTTCTTGTCTACGAGTCCTTCGGCTCCAAGTAGACCATTCTCTGGGGATCCAAAAACCTGCCGTTGTGGGTGTTATGCCGATTGCGGGTGCAAAGATCGTCACCCTCACCTCGTTACACCGTTATGCCCTATCTATTTCAGGGGCCGTAACCTACGATTTTTGTAGGTAGTACCTGCTGTTTAGAAAGGTTCCATATAGGTTCTAGACCCCAAAGTAGGTGCAATTTGCATACTTGGAGTCTTGGTGGGAACTTGTTGAGGTTTGATTAGCACCGATTATTTCCCGAATCAGGCAGACCCAGTTGAAAGCACCTTCTTCGATTCACCAAGACGTCTGCAAACTTTCTGAACTCGTAGAAGAACTCGTAGACGTGGAAACAAACCTGATGACCGCAGCAGTTCAATCCCCGAGGCCTATTTATAGGTTTTGATACCAAAAACGACCCTAGAGTCAAGTAAAAAGGAGTACTTGACCCTCTGGGAATTTCTAAAATCCCTCTGCTTTTGTTTTAGCATCGTTTGTTTCTCACGCTTTGACCGAGCTGAAACCTCAAACCTTGATATCAGTGAGAGGCCAACCACCTCCTTTGAACATCTCCGTCAGAACCCTTACACGCAACGTGTAATATGCAATGCAAAAGCTTTCCAGATTACCCTGAAACAGCTTGATACTTCAACCCCTAGGACCCAGAGTAGGCCCTTATTCCCTTTTTTGAGGCTTAGGTTCCCTTATAAGCCCCTTTAAACCAAAAAGGGCGCCTTTTTTATTTCTAGGTTACTCTTCGGTCTAGTCAACCCTTACTAATCAGGCCCTACAAAAAGAAAGCCGCCAAAAAGATCATCTTGATACCCAAAGGGAACTCCAGAAAGTTGGAATATGGTTTCAGGGTAGGATACCCTACAATTTCCCATAAAGGGCTCAGGATAATCATATTCCAACTTTCTGGCTCTAACCCTAAACCCCTAAACCCTAAACCCTAATCATATTCCAACTTTCTGGCTTTTACTTCAAACCGAAACCCTTTGACCGCCTGAACCCCGCAGCCTGAAGCCAAAAGCATAAACCCCAAAGCGAAACCCGAAGCCCTACAGCCCTAAATCCGAAACCCTTTCTAAACCCCTAAACCCCTAGCCCCCAAACCCCTAAACCCCTAAATCCTAAACCCACTCTACCCGAACTGAAACCCAAAATCCTACACCTGGAGCCATGAGCCTCCCTTCAGAATCCCTCTCGGGGAGGCTCCGAAAGTGGGGGGTACCTTATTTTGGGGTCCTTATAATCAGGATCCTACTATTTAGGGTACTACTGTTGATGATATAAATCCTGCATCACCTTAAGGACCCTAAACTATGAGAAGTATGGTATATTCCTTATTATGGGTCATGCAGGGTTTATATCATCAACCGTATTTAGGGTACTATATTTTGGTCCCCTATTTTCGGAAATCCAACCTCTCGGAGAGGCTCCGGGGCTCATGTAAATGGCTGGTGCTGATGTGGACCAGGCCTCCGATCCAAACTTGGGAGCTTCCTATAGTCTCCTTAGGAATCAACTCTAGTTTGGGGCTTTGGGTTTAGGGTTTTGGGTATGTAAATCCCAATAGTATTTTGAACAGAAACATATGTGTGTTATGACTCTAGCTTCAGGAGCTCCGGAACGAAGGGTGTTGAGACGCTGTCTAGGAAGTCTTGCATGGTGTCTATAGGGCCTTTCAGGAATGCTGCGGGTTTCAGTGGCGGTGTTAGGTTTCTGGAGGGTAGTTTCTGGGCGATTTATGCTTTTTCCAGGGGTCGTGATACTAACGATCCTACTGTTTCAGGCCTATAGCCTCGGGGTCCACTAAGTTCTGACGCTACCCCTCGAGTTCTCCCCAGTAGCTCCTCCTCTTTTCTATTGTGTTACGGGTTCGAGGTTCAGGGATGTAGGGTTTAGTGTCATGTTCCTGATCATTAGAGGTGTGAGGTTCTGCATGATTTCCATGATGCTTGTACTTCAGTCTCTGTAGATCCACAAAATCCTGCATGGCCTCGAGTATCGCTGACAATGGGAGTTATGGTTGTTTCTCCATGATAATCCGAAATCTTAAAAACCTTCAACCCGTTTTGCTGCTGCTTCAAGGAAAATGTTGGTCCCAGTACATGCCTAGCGACCAGGGCAAAAGTATTCTTTATTGTAGGACGGTAGGTCTTTTTGATGGTGCCCAAAACTCATACATAAGGACTGCGCCCCTAAGAGTATGTGCGTTCTCGAAGTGCTCAACAATGAGGGTTCAACAAGGCAGCTTTAGTAGCTTGTAAAGGTTAGTTTTCTATCCTTTTCATGATGACGAGGCTCTTACCAGTAGGGTTAATTAAGGTTCGGGTTGTGGGGCGATGTAAGTGCGGTACGGGGCTTAGAGCATCACATGGAGAGTGTTGACGGTATCACTTAACGCCTTGGATGGTGCAATGCCCGGGGCTTCGTTTTGAACTCCATTTGTCGTTCGGGTGTTCTGTGTCAATTGCCTGGGTGTTCGGATTCACTGCAGACACACCCCAAAAGCCATCTGACCCTACCCTAAGCTTCCTACCGCAAACTTCTTTCAAATGCCTCCTCGACTGGAGGTGTACAGACCGAAGAATTTTCCAAGGCGCATTCCTGAGGAACAGATCGGGTGCGAATGGTTTAAGGCTCAGGGTTCCTTTCGGGGTTCTCGAGGGTACAAAAGCGGGTGTAAGACTCAGCCGAACCTTAAAGCACAACCCTAAACACTTCGAGGTACCTTATTTGGGTTTGATTTTGTCCTTCAAAGCGTGGTAGGGTGTCGGGAAGGCGGTTCAGACAAGATCATGGAGTTGGAGGTTTCGGGACTCTGATCGCTTCGGACCCTGTGAAGCCGTAGTGGTTCGTTATCCTACTTACCAAGAGGGTCCATATACACTACCATTCTGGAATTAGGCCCCGAAAGACCATCCTGAGAATAGTTTTGGGTACCTAACCCTAATGGTCCATGTGCTCATATGGTATATACATTGGCCTTAATGTAGTCCCTATTTAGGTACATTGGGGCCCATGTATCTCTATATGGGTACATGGACCCTTAGGGTAATTCCATAAAAGTAGTATAGATGGAGCCTCTGGGTTATAACCCTACTTAAAAACGACCCATGGCAGAGTTTGCGAAAAGAGGAGACCCCTATATAGTACCCTAAGTACGTAGTAGGATCCTTATTCTACGGACCCCAAAGCAAGGCAGCCTGATTTTCGGAAACTCCCTAAGCCCAAACCCTTCAATTCTAAACCCTCAACCCAGAACCCCTAAACCCTAAACCCCTTAACCCTTAAACCCTAAACCCCTAAACCCTTAAACCCTAAAACCTAAACCCCTAAACCCTCAAACCCTGAACCCCAAACCCCTAAACCCTAAACCCTTAAACCCTAAACCCCCTAAACTAAACCCTAGGCCCTAAACCCGCAAACCTCACGTAAAACGACCCATGAACCTCCAAGGAGTTGATGAAGACCTCAGAGCCGAATTTGAGGCCCCGATCTTCCTAAAACCCATAAATGCTTTAACTGTCGAAACATCCGGCGGTTCATTGGCTTTCGTTCCGCGCTTCAGGCGGTGAGCCTTCCAGCAGGACTGGGCGGGGCCCGTCAGTACCAGCCTTTCTCTCGGGGTACCTTCACAAAACCTAACAAGCAGGGTTTAGGGTTTATAGGGGTTTAGGGCTTGAGGGATAAGTACATCCCTAAAGGTCCAAAGGACCGAATAAGCAAGTATTTGGGTTTTAGGATCGTGTTTTCGTAGCTTAGTTTGAGGGAGTATTTGATTATTAGGTACCTACAGGTGTGTCCCAGCTTAGATGAACACCTTAAGTGGTTCGGTAACTGGAAGCCTCGTAGATTGTACGGTTTGAGTATAAATATATATCCATAGTGTCTGGTCTAGGGGGCACCGCTCACGAGCACTGCCGACCACCCGCGTACAGTGCTTTACATCAAGGTGGAGATGTGGAGCCCTAAACCAACAACTCCCCAAATCCTCTAAACCCTAAACCCTAAATCCTAAACCTCACAGGGAAGCCTTAAACCCTAAAGTCTAGACTCTAAACCCGGCACTCAAAAACCCCAAATTCCTAAACTGGCCCTATAACCATGTGGCTCCATGCGCAAACCTGCAGTCCGAAATGGAAAGTCCGCGAAAGCCTTAAACCCAGAAGCTACCACTTTTGGAGTTTCTGAGTCTGCGAGGCCAATAACTATAGACTAGGGGGTCAATCTACTGCTTCGTGGGCCGTGGGGTACAGGGCCTAAACTTCTACAAACCTACCTTTCGAGGGTTCCTTATTATGATTCCCTTATGTAGGTATACCCTTGAGGCGACAGGACATCCTTAAAGAGCTTAGATTCCATCATCTCCACCCGGCGACGTCGCCGATGAAGCGCCCGGACTGGCCAGCGCAGCTACTCAGTAATCATATGACCCATCATGTAGGGTCTTAGAGTTTAGGGTTTAAGGGCTAGAGGGTTTAGGTAGGGTTTAGGGTGTAGGGTTTAGGGTTTACAGCTTACAGCAAGCCTCATCAAGCTGGAACACAGGCACAGGGAATCACTGGTTTCCAGCTCTATCGCAGCTACTCTGTGGCGGTCCGTAGGGTTCCTCATTACAACTATAGTCCAAGGGTAAAAGGACGGACCCTCAATAAGGACCCCTAGGCATTTACCCTTAATATAGCTATCATAAACCCATTATATAGCAAATTATAGGGTAGGGGTCCCTGTTAAGGGTCCCTCCCTTTCCCCATTGATATAGGATGACATACCCGAACGCCCTTTTGGAAATCTTGAGGTCGCTGTATTCCTGTATCATTCCGGGGGCACCATGATATTGGTTCCCTAAGGGTCCATGTACCCAAATAGTACATACTGGGGCCTCAATGCAGTCCCTATATAGGTACTTTGGGGCCAAAGTATAAACTATTTGGGTACATGGATCCTTCGGGTCAAGCCCAGACCGGTTTTCACACCTTCGGAAATGACATTAGGGTTTAGGGTTGCGGGTTTAGAGTTTACGGTTAGAGCTCTATCGATTCAGGTCTCTTCCTTGATCAGCAGTATCCGGCTCTCTGGGAAAGTACAGCTTGGGTTTGGACATTACATAGAGGGTCATACCCTACCCCCTTTTTTAGGGTACCTAATTTTATGGTTAGGATCTCCTATATAGAAAAGTAGGTACCCTAAAAAAGGGGTAGGGTATGAGCCTCTAGGTACAGAGCGACCAGTCTTGGGCTTTATGCTCGTTTTGCCAGAGTGCCACCGATGACGTTCTGAGGTTTGCACACGCTTCTATAGCTCCAACATTCAAAATCTTACAACTGAAAACAAAAATCTTACAACTTAGTAGCAAACTACCCAATTGATACTTGATATACATCCCAAAGCCAGGGCAACCCTCCGAGTGACAACGACAACCCGAACAGTTGATCGCAAGTGGCCGAGTAGTTCAGTGGCTGCCTCTTGCAGAGAGTGCGGAGTAGCTATTGCTACTGTGGTCTGCGGTTTGGGCCATACCTTAAAATCCAAAACCCTACTTTTTTGTGGGTTCTTATGATAAACCCGAATAGGGAATTTATGGGGACCCTACAAAAAAGTAGGTTTTGGTAGCTTCAGGTAGGGTTCAAGGCACTCACCAGCACAAACCACGATTTCATGTTGCAAGATTCCGTGAGAGCGGGATGACCAGGTCTTTCATATAATTCGCAAGAACCTATATACCCTTTTGAGGACTTATATAGAGAGTTCACAATAAGGAACCCTTAAAAGGACATATATACAGGGTTCATAATCAGGGACCCTTAAAAGGACATATATGAAGAATTCATAATAAGGAACCCTTAAAATTACTTATGTAAGAATTCATAATAAGGTACCCGAAAAAGTAGGCTGATTGGAATCCAGGCAGACCTGAAAAGCTTCACCGCAGATCTCGTTGATTTTGTCTCCGTCGGGAGCAGTGGCAGTCACCACGGCAAGCTAGACCCAGAATCCCAAACCCCAAACCCTAAACCCCTATAACTATAACCTCAAACCCTATAGGCTTAATGTAGACCTCCACAATTATATTTAAAACCCCTATAAAGCTAGACAGCAAGCCCGCCCCAACTCCGGAACCCACGTCTGCAAGCTCTGGAACGTTTAGGTTTTGGGGTTTAGGTTGAGGACTCAGTGGTTTAAAGCTGCGGGTTTGCAGCATTGTCAACAAACCCCAACAAGAAGGAGCGCACCACCTTGCCCGCAGTATTCGCGGACCGAGAAATACACACAGCACTAAAGCTCTCAAAGCTCTGGTCGCCGTCGCACCACAGCTCTGCCCAATGCTTCCATCACAAAATCGTTACACTACAAAGCTGTTAAGCGCAAGACCACGCCCAAATGCCGAATTTGAGCCGTGAACTAGTCAAGCCCGAAAACACCCCAAAAGCCCTTAGTACCCTTAGACCCTCAAAGACCCA